AAACAAGGTCAGATTCGGGAATTAAGGTCTCCCAGGCCCATCCTAGAAAGGCAGTCAAGCCTTCAGTGTTTTCATTATTAGAAATCTTTAAGTGTTAGAGGCCATCTTCTAAATTCATGTATTTATTCTTTTAATCACTGAATAAACTGATACTAATTGTACCAAGCGCTGTGTATAAGGCAGTATTGGGGCCACTGATCTGTTATAAAATGAAAATACTTCCATTTAAATATGATCATGTGTCATATGAAAGCCTGAATGTACGGGGGTTTTGTTTGTTTGTTTTTGATGATACAAGGGATTGAACCTAGGGCCTTCACACTGAGCTACATCCCCAGCCCTTTTTTATTTTTTTTATTTTGAGATAGGATTTTTGTTTGTTTTTGAGGCAGGGTCTCGCTATGGAGTTCAGACTGGCCTTGAGCTCACTTTGTAACCAAGGCTGGTCTCGAACTTGCAACGATCCTCCTGCCTCAGCCTACCAAGTGCTGGGATTACAGGCGTGTGCCACCACACCCAGCCTTGAGATAGGGTTTTGCTAAATTACGCTGGTGGGACTCCAATTGCAGTCATCCTGCCTCAGCCTCCCAAGTAATTGTGATTACAGGTGTGCACCACCGTACCTGGTACATGTATGTATTTATAATGTAGTGGAGGAGTCAAGGAAAAGAAAAACTTACCCACTAAACAAACAGTACATCACATCACTCATATGTAAAAATCTTTTATTGTTGAGGAGGAGAGAGACATATTTTTAATGTAGGACTCTATAGAAATTATAGTCAAGCTATAGAATCCACAGTCAATGCCCATTAGGACTGGGGATAGTCACCAGTTACTAGAGGGGATAGGGAAGGAATCAAAGCACAAGAATTTTACAGGAACAGAAGGGAAGCAGGGAAACATGCACTTGGGATTGGGACAGGGGACAGTGTCTCTATGATGCAGCCCAGGGTCCAGAAGCGAAGTGCTGAGGAGCAAAACAAAACAAAAACCAAATCACATCTTACATCTTCTAAAACTGCCGCTGGCTACCTACTGGGGTGAACGTGGAAGAAGTAAAGGGAGTCTTGACCCTCAGTTGTCTATGTGGCCTTTGGACTAATGGTCTGGTGCTTGCCCCTTTCCTGCTCCTGTGTTTATTGTGCTGAATACGTGTGGGTCTGGCGGCCCATGCAGAAGGATGTAGGAACCAAGATCATATCACCTGAGCACCCTCAGAAGCCAGGCACACACACATAATCCATTCCAGGCAGCTTGGTGCTAATGCTGCCCCTGGCTTACCAGGTCTTCCTCTTCCCAGAAACCTCCCAGAGGAAGGACAGGCCCCCAGATTACTTCCTTTTTCAGCAGGTTCACATGAATGAAAGAAGATGACACAATGATCTATGTTGGACCACCTAGTAGGTTACAAACACTCCGTGAACGGTAAGATTATGAAGGCTGCAATTACAGGCCCAGTCCCTCTGAAAGAGCCTGGATTCACCAGCAAACATTAAAAGTAGATTTCCACAATGAACTTGTTTTTGCCATTTGTATAAAATACAGTGGCAAAATTGTACTGTAATTATCTTTATGGCTAGTGTATAATGCTGGAGGAGAGTACGCCGTCCAGATATAGCTGCCCATATAATTATCTGGCCGTTGGCAGGACTGAAATAACCATCTAATGAGAGCGAAATGATACAGTAAGTACCGTGCAATCAGTGAGTTACAGTTATTACAGCTTTTGTGCCCTCTCACCCAACAGTAGGTGGGGGGCCAGACCCAGTCTTGGGCCGGAGGAGTTATGCACAGGTGGCAACATCAAGTCAGCTCCTTAGGTCTCGGGCTGGCCCCTTGGGACTAGGCAGGGCAGGTTCCAGGGGCCCAGGGAGAGAGACAGGATGCTCTCTGTGAGTATCGGGACTTCCCAATCGCACTCCTCTCCTTTTCACCCCTCTTTCTTTGGAAGTTAGTGAAAAGAAACCCACCAGGTGAGCTGCTCTTGCTGTGTGTGGGTAGGCCATATCCAGGCAGAAGGTTCTGTGTGGTTTGACTAAACACTTCCCTGGGGCATTGTCACACTCACAGACAAGTGAGGAATCTGTCAGCCGGCTCAGGCCTGAGCTGCAACCCAGGGGCAGACAGACCAGAACCAGTCAGGGGAAAGCCCACCCCTCCCAGGCCAGCAGAGCTGTAGTGGAGCTAACACACCACATCATGTACCAGGCTCCAACCTGAATAGTTCACTTGTGCTCCATCCTTCACGCTCCAACCCTGAGAGATCCTATCATCACCTTCATTGCCCTCATTTTTCAGTTGAGGAAAATGAGACGCAGAGGGTTATGTGACTCAGCCAAGGGCACACAGGTAGACAATGGCAGATCCAAGATTCAAACTCAAGCCAATCTCCAATTCATCATCCACATAGAGAAACTAAGCTATGCTTTCTAGTTACTACCGTTAGACGCTAGAGTTCCTTGCATTTCTTCCCAAATCGCCTTCATGTCTGACTGAGCTCTGTGCCTATAACCCAGGACTCTGAGCCAGAAGGTTCAATGTGCCCTGGAAGCAAATGCTTCACCTATGAATCGGATGTGATAGCTGCAGTTATCAAACGACAGTCTCTCCATCTTTTACACAAACACTGGAGAACAGGGTCCAGATAATGTAAAGCTGCCCATTGGAGAACCCCAGGGAAGCCTGTCTCTCCCCGTCTCCCACCACTCACTCCTGCTGCTCACTAATCAGCGGGGTCCGACACACAGGAGAAAAAGATGAAAAAGAGGAGTGCGCATATGTGGGTTCACACCTGCCTCTGAGCATCTCCGTGTTTGAGGAACAGCATGCTGAGCACTGACTGTGTATTTTAGGGTACATTTATACGCATTAACACTTGTAGCAGGGGCTGGGGATTTAGCTCAGCGGCAAAAGCGCCTGCCTGGCAAGCGCAAGGTCGTGAGTTCGGTTTCCGGTACCGGAGAAAAACCAAAACCAAAAAAAAAAAAAAAACCACTTGTAGCATCCAAGAAAATGTGCCAGTAGCAACACACCAACACATGCATGCACGCACGCACGCACACAGGGTCCCTCTCCTCGCTCCTGCTAGCAGGCCTTACCTCATTCTTCACTGGAGGGGTATTTGAGGGTGCCAAAGCTGGGGATGTTCTCTTGATTCACATCAGTAGGTGTGTCTGGGGTGAAGTAAATCATGTAGTGAGGGGAGATTTTTCTGAATGTCACCTTCACCCTGACCCAACAGGGAAGGACTAGCTACCGAGGTCAGCATTGGAAAGAGCTGGGGAGATGGAGAAACGCAGTCTCCCTGTCCCTTCCTCCCAGCCACAGCAGAAAGGTCCCCCACTCTGAGTCCTGGGAGGGCATGGCTGTGAATCCAAGCTGACTGGGAAGAAAGGGGCAAGAACACTTACTACAACCAAGACAGGTCTTATTCTTCCCTCTGGTAACAAATAGGAGACATTTGACTTCTGTCATAGCCTCCTCAGACCCTAAACCATACTCCCTCACAGGCCTACCTGGCTGGCTGTTCCTCTTCCCCATAAGTCCCACAAAGAAATCATGCATGTCACCTGCAGAAAAAGGCCAACATTGTCAACAAGGAGAGTGATGGTTTATCCTCTGTACCCACCCTCTCCGCGTTTCCAGAATCCTCTGCCCAAGGAGGTGCCTGGCTTAGAATTTTCATCATCACCTCTTCGTTCCTCTTGATTCCCAATAAGCAGCCAGGCGAGGAGACTGCTCAGGGCCCTCGCACCTGCTTCTTTCCTCATTCCCAGTGGCCTCTCTCACTTAGGAAAAGCTGGCTGAGCAATTGTAGCTGGCATACTGTCTGCACCAGCTGAGATCAGCCCAGCCAAAATGCCCTCTGGGCCCCATGCCCACAGAGCTCTGGATGAGTGGTCAGCAGAGATAGAGGGAGAAGGGGTACTTACGTTTCTGCGGCAGGGATGATTCCTTAGGATCTGAGAAACCGAGAACAAGTGTGTAAATGAGGAGTAGATGCTGGAGAATTCACCAATTCATGAAGCCATTCCCTGTCTCCCTCTCACCCAAAGGGTCTTCCAGACCTATCTAATCTTCAGAATCCCGCTCCTCATACCCTCTCCCCGGGGCTGCTCCTACCCAGGCTAGCCTTGCTCAGCACTTTCAGCAATCCTTCCAGAGAGACTGAGCGGCTGTCGTAGAGTCTCCGCAGCAACGATGGGGGCAGCTGGGAGAGACCCGAGTCCTTGTAGGGGAGAGGAACAAAGAAGACCGAGGCAGGAGACTCATACTCCATCCACTCACTCTTTTCCCACACAAAACAGCCTCCTCCTGAGCCCGTGACAGCTGAACCCAAACCCTGCTTCTTTCAGGATTTCCTCTAGTTTTCTAGCAACTTGGGCACAACAAGATGTGTGCCACTACCTCACTAATGCCAGGCGCAGAGTGACAATGACAACGATCATGTTTGGAGATTCTACCTTGAATCTCAGAAGTACATGTCTCCAGAACCCAGGCATCCTGGCACTGCTGTCCACACTTAGAAGTGCCTTTACCAGGACACCCCATATATATTAACCCAGTTATAAGGGCACACATTTATCCTACCCTCTTCCTGCCCCAATTCCACTTAGCCTCACAGACACTAGGGCAGAATGCGTGGCAGAGCAATCCCTGTCTGTCATTAACAAAGAGGGACAGAGGGGACATCTCATCGCCCAAGGTCCCGCAACAAGCTTGTCTCTGAAGAACTCAGATGCCCTGACTAGCCCGGGCTGGAACTTTGTAGCTCCAAACACAGAGTTCAGACTGTATTTGGCATTCCCAGGGCATTTTTGAATTTTGGATCTGGTGCAGCTGCGCCACCTGCAAGGCTGCACTGGTGATCTCCCTCTCTCTCCCTCTCTCTCCCTCTCTCTCTCTCTCTCCCCCTCTCTCTTTCTCTCTTTTTCTCTCTCTTGGACCAGCAAACTGCTTCACAGCAGCCACTTTTCCCAAATTGTTCGAATTCTCTGCCCACCTCCTATAATGAGATGCTAAACAGACTGGATCTGGGGAAGCAGTTAGACTTCGCACACTGAATTTGTAATAAGTCCCACCTGTAATCATCTTAAAAGCATGTGTACCAATGTAATTGCTGTCATTTCAAAACCTTCAAAACACTCCCTCCCTACACCCCCCACCCCCTCTCCCTGTACCCCAACCCTAACAATCCCTATTCTTTTTCTTAGGGGAACTTTGCAAATCAGGGTTCAACCTAGCTTTCTGTTACTGTTTTTGGTTTTGCTACCCTGACTAAGCTGAGGCTAGGGACAGGCAAGGGAAAGAAGAAGGGTTGGAATCTTAGAAGCACCTGAAGTTATGAGGTGAAGGATAAGCAGAAGATAGAGAAATTTATTTGCACTTTGAAAATAAAATAATATACATAATCTATAGATGAAGTAGTATGTAAATGCCCACATGAGAAAAATTCTCATTGTTTCATACCATCTAACAGATAGAGATAGATCTGTCCCCTGCCAAGGGACGGAACCTGAGCCAGATCACAGAAAGCCTTAGCCCACCCTAGCTCACCAGTTCTCAGCACCATCTCATCACCAAGTCACCAGTCAATGAACAAACTGAACAACATATTTGTAGGGCATCTTTTATGACAAAATGTCAAAGACACACAGAGAGACAGAGACATTTAGAGACGTGCCCTGGAGAGCGTTGGAATACGAGAGTGCCAGAGAGGTAGGGAAATCCACAAGAAGAAAAAATGCTCTCGGAAGGATTACCCACCCAACTGCCAACCCTGCCTGCTCAATCTTCCCCCTCCAGCTGTCCAGACATGCAGGATCCCAGACCCCTGATGTTCCCAGGACTCGGGCAGAGGATGACTTACCTTCCTGTGGGTCCCACTGGGTACCACCTGCTCCTGGGACTCCTCACAGACAGCCCCAAAGCTTGAACCCAGACTAAGGGCCAGGATGGCTGCAAACAGCAGGGTGCTCCTCATGGTGTCTGGGAGGATGAAGGGACAGGCCTCAGTGAGGGTGGAGAGAATACAGCTCTGCGGAAATGTAGACCAACAGTCTGGCTCAATTCTGCTGTCAGCCCCAGCTGTCCCACCCAAGCCTGGAGAGAGCGTGGAATGCGTCTCTGAGAAGGGGTTCATCCTGAGGGTTCAGTTTCTGTGTTCTCCTATTAGACAACTTTCGTGTACCCCAGGGCACGAGCAGTGGTGCTGCGGTGCCGGGACTCCAGCTCCCAAAGAAGAGGATAGGTTTGCTTCTTTAGTCATGCATTAGTCTGTCTCTCCAGTCAACCCAAGGAAAGGTCCTGGATGCTATTTTCCAGTACTAGATAACCAAGACTCAGGCAAAACTTTCTGGTACAGAAGAATCAGTCTACACCCATAGGCTCCAAACAGCCTACTCACCTTCCCATTTCCCCGTCAAAGGCTTCCTTCATCCCTTCTCTCCTGACTCTGGCCCTTGACCCTCGGTGCCAGCTTCAGGCCATGCCACACTGTTCCCCTGTGCCTACCTGTAGAGCTGCTCTGCGCCTGGCGCTCTGGACTGGCAGGATCAGGGAGCTGGCGGGAGCACTGCACACTCCCCACACGCTGCGGAGCTGCGAGGAAGAGAAAAGCAGAGTGGAGGGGACCTGGGAGGTGGCAGGAACTCAGTCCCAGCTCCCTGATAAAGGCTCTGGGAGGGTTTGGGGGAGCTGAGAGGAGGGGCTGAGAGTCGCCAATCCCAGGGTGGCTGCGGAGGAGGAGGGAGGTTGGAGGAGGGGGAGGATGCAGACTGCAGCCACACACCCAGACACACGCACACCCTGCAAGATACACACGCACATACACACGCACACACCCAGCAGTGAGCTGGGGCTGTCCGGCAGCCCGCTCTCCAATAGCACCCTAGGTAGGCAGTCTAAGGAATGCTGCTGTGCTTAGCTGTCACAGTATTGCCATGCCGGTGCAGCTCAATAGATGTGGCCCGGGCCTGTTTCCCTCTGTGTTTGCTCACCAGCCCCTGGCCCTTAAAACCTTCAAGCTTGACTGCCAGGCTGAAACAGCTCAAGCAGGTGCCTCTCTGCCCTTGCCACTACCAGGACCACTAGGCTGAGGACGGGGTGGGGGGTGTGTGTGGGGGGGTGAGCCTGGCATCCCCTCCAGTCTCCATTCTCTTTCCTTACCACACACCACGGCCTTCACCCCCGCACCCTGCTGGTGCTTCTCCCCTGCTGCTTAATGCGGAGACCTCCCCTCACCCCCACCGGTGCTGATGTCTCCCCCTGCGCCTCCCCACCTTCTCCTTTTCATCTGACCCTGTGTCAGCCTGACTTAGTTGCATCCTTATAGAGCCTGTCTGCTACCCCTCCCGCTGTAGTCTCAGCAAGGGGGAAGGAACGCAGTGGCTGAGCTGTTCCCCTAGCCCTACCCCCCAAAATCATCACTTAAATTGCTTCCTTTTCTCCTCACAGTTATGTCTTCCACACTCTAACTCATCTCCCTGAAACTCAGACATCTTATCCTCTGAATCTTAAGCCCGTCTTCACATCCCACAGAGGGGGCTTTGCTACTCACGGCACACCCAAGGGAGGAAGCCCCCAGGGAGTGAATCACACCGAGACCAGAGAACAGACCTGGAGACCGCGAGGCCGCAGGGCTGGGGGAGAGGCACCGTGTCTGAACACTGGCTTCTGAGCAAGCGAGGGGTCCTGCTCAGCGTTTGTACTAGACACGGGATTTTTTTTTTTTGTTCTTTGCTCTGTGTGTGTGTGTGTGTGTGTGTGTGTGTGTGTGTGTGTGTGATTGACCCCAGGACCTTCTCAAGGAGCTACATCCTCAATCACTGTTAATTCTTTCTTTTGAGACAGAGTCCTGCTAAGCTGTCCATACTGAACTAACAATGCTCCTGTGTCACCCTCCCAGAACGCTGGGAGCGTGCTGGGTCTGAACATTCTCAAGGTGTTTTGGCACAGAGCGATGTGTTTTCCTCACCTCCACCATACAAGCAGGTAATACAACTATTTTTCCGATGAGAAAACTGAGACCCGGGAGGTTTAGTCACTGGCTACAGTATGTACAGCTACTAATCAGTAGAGGACAGCCACAAATTCAGGTTCTTCTAAACCTAAGTCTCCCATTCTTCTTACTGCACTGGCATGAACATTGACCTGTGAAGGAATAGTTACCCCTCTCAAAGTCCATCTCTTTGAGACTTGGAGATTTGGGACCTTCTACTCTTCTATCCCTACATCTTGGGAGGAGGAGAGAATGGTGATTCCATCTTGTGTTTACTACTAATACTCCTTTTGCTTTGTTTTGTTTTATTTTGTTTTGTTTTGTTTTGAGACAGGGTTTTACTCTTCTGTAGTTCAGGCTGGCCTTGAACTCACGATGTAGCCCAGGCTGGCCTTGAACTCATGACAATCCTCCTGTCTCAGTCTCCAGAGTGCTGGGATTACAGGCATGCACCACCATGCCCGGGTCAAATATTCCTTCTTTAACAAGGCCTTCCTCCAAAGTTTCAACCACCCCACCACTCCATATAGCCCCTCCTGCTTTTTTTTCCATGCACTTATTACATCCAGCACCCTAGTGTTTTGTTTACTGTCTCTCTACAACATAGACCACCCCACTAGAATGTATCATGAGGGTAAGAATGCTTGTCTGATTTGTTTGCTATTGTAGCCCTCACCCTGGAGTATTTGGCGCATAATAGATGAACAATAAAAATTTATTTATAAAATGAGAAAGGAAGCCAGAGCCAAGCTTCTTGTATCTCAGCCCAAAACAAGGATCTTCCATGGAGCCTCTCAAGTGCTAATGGGGTTCTGAAACCCTTTCTACCCACCTCACCCTCCCTAGGACTTGGACCACACTATCAGAAACCTGCCTGACTGCACGGGGCCCCACGTTCACCCCAGAGTGAGGGCAGCAGCTGGGTATCAGGGCCTCTTTATTATATGCGTGGCTAATGAGGCCTCATTAAAAGCTTCTCATTACACAGCTAATTGCAGGGCTGTGTGGGCAAAGAACACGGGCCAGTACCAAGGGCTGGGAGCATTTGGTGAGAGGAGGAATAGAAGCGGCTGTTTACATGCAAATGGCATGACTGGTTCATTCCTTTGAGAAGCTCAGGTGCCCTTCCTAGTTGGGCTAGCTGTCTCCTCCTCCTCTCCTGTCTGTCTAGAGACAGAAGCCCAAGGAGGCCTGTGGAGGAAGTTAGGTGTCAGGGAGGAGGTGCGAATTGAGGACCAAAAGCCTCCTGGGCCAAATTCTGCATCAACCCCCTCCCCCATCAGCCCATCTTTCCCTGCCCCCCAGCGCTGGCGCCAGCGAAGCAGGGCTTCAGCAAAGGTCCACCATGAATAATGTCCTTTGATGATTCGGCATCTCGCAGAGGATGGGGGAGCCAAGCCTGGGGGGAGCATGAGGATGGCGGGAGAACGGATCACCCCTTGATCTCTGGGATTAGCAAAGACTTGAAAGAGCTGATGCTAACCTAAACCCGAGAACTGGTGGAGGAGGGGGCATTGGAAAGCCGGAGCAGGCGGGTTTCGCTTTGCCCACAAATCAGATGCAAATAGCATGAAAGTGCCCGTTGTGACGATAGAACACCTAGGTGTCCTTTATCTTTGAAAATCTACTCGCTATTTAAGCCACATTTCCGATATTTTCACTGGCCCGAAGGAGAGGGTACTCGGAGTCCAGAGTTCCTAGCAGCAGATCGCCCGGCAGCTCCCCTCTTTTCGTTGTCGTCAAGGCCGGGAAGAGATGTGCAGTTGTGCTGAGATGAGACAAGCTAGTCTGCCTTTCTCTGGGGGCTGAAGGTAGAGGCAGCCCCAGCCTGAGCTTCTGCACACAGGGTGAGCTGCACGGGCCCCCACCGACTGGCCTATGGATGCCCTCATCATCCCAGACAGGGCCGCATGTGACACTGGGTGGAGGAACCAGAAAATAGAAGGATGGTAGCTTCCGTAGTGTTCTGCTGGAGACACCCCGCGGAGCTGCAAAGAAGGAGGAGAGCCCCAGAGCTGGGGAAGGAGCGGACTGAGCCCGGAGGACTGCAACAGAGCTGGTTTAAGCTCTGAGAGGGGCAGGGTGGTTCCCTGTGGGGGCTGCGGAGTCCAGGCTGGCCTGTGCCCCTCGGAGCCTGGAACACAACCTGCACTGAGAGTGCTGGGCAGGCGAGGGGGCGGAGGGCTGGGAGGGGAGGGCAAAGGGCAAAACTCCCACTTCTCTTGTGGTCAGAAAGCCAGTTCAAACCCTGGAACACAAGTGGGGAAACTGAGCCCAGCAGGTAGCAGGCTCCTGGGCTCCAGTAGAGAAGCAGACAGGAAAGAAGGAAAGGAAGGGAGAGGCGGAAGGGGGAAGGAAGGAAGGGGGTCCTACCCCTCCCCCTACCGGCGTCTGTGACTGAGGGAAGGAGTCAACCTAGCCCTCCTCAGCCCTCACCCCCACCCAGGCCGCTGACAGAGCCCGCAGCCGTGGGAAAAGAAAAGCAGGATAGGGAGCAGCCGCTGCATTTTCTCCTGAAATTGCTTCTGAAAATGACCAGACACTTCACTGGGAAAGTGACGACAATTTGGGCCCTGGGAGCAGGAGATGAGGCAGAGAGCGGAGGCGATCAGACTCAGGTCACCCCCACCCACCCACCACCCACCCCGCCTTCCTGGGCGACACTGATCTTCGGGGCCTCATTCTGAGAAGTCAAGGGTGGGGGTGTTGTCGAGGGTGGGAGGAGCCAGCCCTCCCCTGAACACAGCCTCCACCAGAGGCTCCAGCTCCTCACCGGCCTGGGAAGCCGGCTTGAGCTCAGAAAGCAAGAATAATCTGCAGGCAGGAAGAAGTGAACCAGGGCTCCCTGCCCACGTGATCACCTGGGGCCGGGAGCCGCCTGCTAATGGAATGTAGAACCCAAGCGAGGTGAGGAAGACCCTAGCCTCGGGGCACAGAGAGATAGAGCTTAGTGGAGGTGGCAGGGAAGGTGGATATTGCGGAAGAGGGAAGAGCCTGCAACAAAGGCGCCCGTCCTACACAGAGACTGCAGATCTAAACTTCACTGTGAATACATGAGTGTGATTTCCCCAAAGGCAGAGCCCAGGATGACAAGAGGTTGCGACAAGACAGAGTCTACGAGGAAATAGATATGAAGGGAAGCGGAAAAATATATACAGCATTCTACAAAATATCACGCATTAATATGAGTCAGAGTCCACGCACAGAAGGACAATGAGATGGTGTGAGACAGTTGGAGGCTCAGAAAAAGATAATGACAATGACACAGAGAAAATAAACCAGGACGAGAGAAAAAGAGTTGAGTCATAGGGCTGAGAGAATCTGGGTGGGAGCCTGCCCATAAGTGCCACCACCTGCAGGCCCCAGCTCTGGGACAGAGATTAGTAAAAAGCCATTGGCAGCAGCTTGGCATCTCAGGTAAATGGAAGGGAAGTGGTGCCGGGAGGCAAGTGTGATGCAGCCCAGTGCTAAGCCTGGGGATGGAGGGGTGACGGAGCTCCTGGGTGGGGGGGGCCCTCCTTCCCCAGCTCACCTCAGCTTGCCTGAGCTCTCCAGCCTTGGGCCACTTTTCAGGGGAAATCTCCAAAGGATCCCATTCTGTGCCAAGTCGGGGATCCTCCCTTCTTCCCTCCAGGGACACACTTAATGAATCAGCCCATCGGCCACCTGCGACCTGAGCCCTAGCCCTGACTCCCCCACCCCCACCCCAGTCTCTCTAAACCCCGACAGAGCTCAGCCGGTCAAGGAGCCCACAGACAATTTCCCTTCTGCGCCCTTCTGATTGTCTGTACTAGCTGGCTCCCGAGGACCTGAGGGACGGGAAAGGGCATGGGGAGGGGGGTCTAGATGCAGCTGCGGGAGGAGCGGGGAGACAGGGCCCACACACACTGACCAAAGCTTTCAGAACTGAATGTTTTATTAGTGGGCAGAGAGCTGGGAGGAGAGGACTGGAAGGGTTGGAGAAGAAAGGTCCTCTTCAAGGGTTCTTCCATCTCCAAGCCTCGCAAGGAGGCTGGAGCAGGACAGTGCTGGTCCAGAAGAAGGCGTGTCTCTTTCAGAGGCCCCTCCCCTCACTGCACTGTCACCTCCAGGCAATGACTTCCCTTCTTCTTGAAAATGAGCTTGCTGTTCCCACCGCTCTCAGGGCCCTGGACAACACTGACAGCCACACTGTTCCCCTTGAACCTCACTGAGAACCTGGAGAGGAAATAGAACAACCAAAATCAGTGCCCCATCCCCCTATCCCAACTCTTGCAGTACCGTGTGGCTTCCCCACCCCTTCCTGAAGCTAGCACATGGTACATTCCTCCCACCCAGTCAGATGGCTCAAAGCCCCAGAGAACTAGGCTTGGGGGACAAAAAAACACCCCCAAGCCCTGCTCTGACGTAGTATGCTTCACTTTCTGATTGCATGAGTTTTCCCGGTCACAATGACCATCAGCCCGGTCATCTGTCCCAAGCCATCCCTCACCACCAGCTGATGGCCTTACTTCTCAGTCACAGCGACAGAAAGCTGCCTCTGTGTGCCATCCAACACAGCCTGGTACATTTTTGTCAGCAGCTCAATCACATGGTCACTGACCAATAGGATGTCCCCCTTGGAGCCTCCTGATGACGTCTGAGGAAGGGGAGAAAAATAGCAAGGAAGGGATTCATTTTTTTCTCCTCAGGAGCAGCCTGAGGGACATCAAAGGCCCAGAGTGAAAGGTCTGGTCCCAGCAACTCCAGCCTGCCCCAGTCACAGGATGCCCACCCCTTTCTCCAGTCAGGGACCCTGCCCTTCCCAGCTCAGATACCTCACTCAGATGCAAGCTAAAGATCCCATCCTGGAGACTGGTAACTGACACCCCAGCCACACTGTCCAGCCCAATGACAATCTTGGCCTGGGACTTCTTAGTGTCTGTGAGAATCACATGCCCCCTGGTCAGGAGGAGAATCCGAGCAGAAGTCTAGGGATGGGACAGAACAAGAACGGGTAAGGACAGACAGCCCTAACCCCCACCCCGGGTGGGCAGCTGCAGCCACAGCGCAGAGAACAGGCCCTCTTCACCTTGCCATTGCCACGGTTGACCTTCTTCACAGTGTCTGCCATCAGAATGGGGCCTTCCTCCCCGCCTTTCAGCTTCTGCAGCTTGGGGTTCCCTTGCAGCCCAATATAGTCACCACGGAACAGAATGGGGACACTGAGGACACAGGGGAGTTGTGCAGTGGAGACAAGGCCCAGAGCCTCATGCCCAGCCCCCACCCCCAAGGGTCATCCTCGTCCTCTGGGCCTGGCCCTCACCCTCCATTATATCCTCTGTCTCAGGGGTTCACAAAATGTGCCCCAGGACCAACATCAGCACCACCAGGGATGAGCCAACCCTAGACCTGCAGAGGCAGAGACTCTGAGGAGGGCTGCAACATCTGGGTGTCCCCAGCCTGCCAGGTGGTTCTGAGACAGGCTCAAGCTGAGAACCATTGCTTCAGGAAGTGGGCTGTGCTGGCTCTGGGTCCCTCACCTCTGGGGATAGGAAGCCTTCTTGCCTTTGAACAGTTCACTGGCGCAGAGCTTTTCCCTCAGCATCTGCACCTGCTTTGGAGACAGCTGATCCCGGAACTTCTTACACTGCAGAGAGGGGAGGACAGGCGCTAAGATCATGGGAGAGGGGGAATGACCAGGGAGGGAGGTGAGAGGCAGAGAAGAGAGGACACTAGGCAAAAAGAGAAACCGTGGGGAAGGGGCAGTGCTAGACCTTTCAGGAGAGGACAGGAGCGGGAAGAGTGTTGAGGAAGGGGGAGGGAACCAAGGCTCGCTGGAGAGGGAAGTGGAAACTATCAAATACGGGCACCGAGGGTGCATGTCCCACACACACACAGCAAGGCTTAGTCCAGACAGGGCTCAGCAAGTATTCCCTAAATAAAAGAACAGATGACATTATGCTAAGTAAAACAAGCCAGACACAGAGAACAAGATTACATGATTCCCGCATATGGGAGGTCCCTACTATAGTGAAGCTCATTACGGGTTATCGGAGGGGAGAATGGGAAGGTAGTGCTTCATGGTATGGAACTTCTCTTTGGGTGAAGAAAAGATTATGGAGATGGATGGTGGTGAGAATTACACCATATGAATGTACTTAATTGCTCACTTAAATGTTGTTAAAATGGCAAGTGTCATGTTACACGTATTTTACCACAGTAAAAGTGGGGGGTAGAAGAAGGAAGCAGAAGAGGGAAATAAGAGAAAAAACAAAAGCACCGAGCTGGAAGAAGAGCTGGCGGCCTCACCTTCCACTGGTGATACAGCTGCTGCAGCTCCTGATTAGCCCTGTCGAAGCACTTGTAAGGGGCGGCCGGCCAGCTTCTGTCCAAGACATTAGCAGACGGCAAATTGTCCTTCAGCCCCAGCAGGAATTTCTGTGCCTGGGTTGGGGGTGGAAGGGTGAGGTGACACACTTCCTGGCCGGCAGACTTACGTCCAGACCCTGCCACTTACAAGGAGAAAGCCCACTCCAGTGGGAAGCAGGAACAGAGCCAAAGAGACGGAAGGGAGTTAGCTGCCTCCTGGGTCTCTGTCCACGTGAAGTGCAGTTTAAGAGTACAAGGTAGGGGCAAGAATGGGAGCCTGCAGGGAGATGAGGATTAACTCCAGCTGGAGACCTGCTTCCCAGGGCTGTGAGGTGGGAGGAACCAATATGAAAGTTGGTCTCAGGATACTGCTCCCTTAGTTGCTGTTCTCTCAGCTCACAAGTCCCTACGGTCAGCAGTCACTGTACGTGTTGGCTGTTGGACAGGTATCAAATCTGCCCTTCCCTCTGATCAGTTCAACCTAATGCCTGTCATTCAGAGTCCTCCACTTAGAGCCCAAGGTGATGGCACAGGATTCCCGCACCCACTCTCCTCACCCCCAGGTGACCAGACAGAACCCCCGGCTGCGGCCTCTGTGTAGCCCACCCACTCTCTGTCTCTCTCTGTGCCTAGCTCCCACTGCTCTGGCAGCTCACCTGCCTGCCTAGATTTTGCCTGTTGTTGGAGATGCAGCTCAAAGCCTTCCCTGATGCCCCAAGCCATGGGTTTCCTCTCCTTTCTCTGAAGCCCCTCCAGCTCTGAAGCCCCTCCAGCTTTGTCTAGGTCTCTGTCTTTGCATTGCAGGTATTTGAATGAAAATATCTCCTTCTTCTAGACAGGAAGTCAGGGACTCAAGATCCCGAGTTGCCTTTTCTTTTTTTTTTTTTTAAACCATTCAACATTGATTGTCTCGGGCTCTGTTCTAGGTATGGGGACATAGGAATGGAGGGCTTACATTCTATGGACAAGGCAGGGCAGACCACCAGCAAATAAATACATAACACAACGTCAGATTAGTCTATCTGCTGTGATGCAAAGAAGCAGGCCCTGAGGCAGAAATGAGTGGTAACACATTCCAGAAACATAAAGAAAGCCAGTGCGGCTGGAGTGAGTTGAGTAAGACATGAGAACAGAATTGGTCGGGGGCAGATCATGAAGGGCATTCCAGCCTGAGTTGAGCACATGGTAGGCTTTTATTCTGGTAAAATGGAGCACCATTAGGGGTTTCAAGCAAGACAATAACATAATCTGACTTACACTGGTTTTTTAAAGTATAGCCTACTAAGCTACATTCCCAGGCTTTTTATTTTATTTTATTTTAGAGACAGGATCTCACTAAGTTGCTCAGGTTGACCTCAAACTTGCAGTCTTCCTGCTTCAGCCTACCAAGTAGCTGGGATTACAGATGTGCACCACCACATTCAGTTTTAGCTTTGTTTTTATTTTTCTGGGTCCAAGATGCAATCAAATTTCATCTATGGCATCTGTTTAGCCTCCCCAATCTAGAACAAGGACTCTATAAAGCTTGTACACCCCAGAGAGCACCCACTACCCTGTTTATTTATGGCATAGACTTATTAACAATACAGAAAATTACTTGATCTTGGGCATTTCCAAATGTTTGAAATTATTACAAAAATGTTTTGCTAAAATATCAGGTTGAAAACATTAAAATAGGACTGGGGATGTAGCTCAGTGGCAGAGAACTTACCTAGCATGTACAAGGCCCTGGATTCAAGCCCCAATATCATGAAACAAAACAAAAAATTAAAATAGAAAAAGGCAGAGCACACAGTACATTGCTGTAACTGCACAGGATCTACTCTAGCGCTTCGTAGCTTCTACTACGGGAAGCTTGGCCCCCAGGATCTGGGCCCGAGGAGGTCTCCCATCATTCTGTACTCCTTAATCTGGTTTGATTTAATTCAACAGACATTCCGAACAATCTCCCCAAAGCTCTGTTACTACAGTTGGTGTGGAAGGCTTTCTTGTCGTTGGTTTGTTCTACATCTAGAGAGTTCTGCTTTTTCCTATGCAGCTCTCCCGCCAGCAGGTCAGCCGAGGGCCATGGGTTACTCAGCCCTCTTGTTAATGGAGGACAGCCTTGGTGATTAAAAGCTCTGGAGTCAAGTAGTTTATATCCCAACACTAGCACTTGCCGGCTGTGGGACCCCTGGCAAGTTATTTACTCTCTCTGAGCCTTAGTTTTCTACCTAAAAAGTGGGGAGAAGAAAGGGCCTACCTCACAGGGCTGTTGAAAACCTTAGCACTAGCCTTGTTATCATCAAGAAACACTGCGGGAATCTAAGCCACATGCTGGGGGTGGCAGAGAGCGGTCAACTACTGAAATATTGGTGGAAGCCAGCAGCTTCTGCGTTGACATTCGGCAGTTGCCTGATAAAATACAGATGGAAGGAAGAGTGGAGGATGGGCCGATCAGGAGATCAGGAGAGAAGTGCAAAACCAGATTAGAAGCCTCAGGTATGCTGCAGGACAGCACGTATGCCGGGGAGGCAGACACAGTGGAGCCAGCCAGAAAGAAGGCAGGGCAAGGAAGAAAAGGGCCTGGGAAGAAGAAACTCCCACCCACCCCAGGGGAGGAGGGGGAAGAGATGAGGGCTGGGGAGGCAACAAAAGACCCTAAGTTTCCAAAGTCCTGTTGGTCTTGTCAGCTGGGGAATCCAGCCTCTCCGACAATGAAGAGGGACTCCAAGTGAAGGTGTCTTGTGTCTGAATGAGCAAACTAACAAGGGCCCTAACAACTGCGCAGACTTCCACTTACTGATACCAGTGACGACTTACTCCAGCCTTCTAGCAGAGACCCTCAGCTCCTCCTCCCCCTCCCTGGCCTTTTCCAAGCTTTCACTGTGGTGCTGCTCCATCCCTGGCTTCCCTTGGACCCCTCTCAGAAGCTCTGTCGCCGTCTGACAGGCGTTTCCAGAAACCACTCTTTTCTGTCCCTATTTTCCTCCCACTGGAAACCACCCACAGTTTGAATATGTGAGCTTACGTCTGCTTCTTCCCGCCCTTCCTGACCCAAGTCCTCCAGAACTGGGAGAGATCCTCCTGAGATTTAGCTTCTGACTGGTCTGCTACGGGTTCAGAGGAGGTAGAAAGAGGATTCTGTCCATTTTCACCCAAAATATATCTCAGAAGTTTGGGCTAGTTAAACCTTCGTGTGCCTTCCCTCTGCTTTTTCACGAGGTGGATAGACATCCAGCCCTAGTCTATACCCATGGGCCGGATGGTAGCTGTGCTGAGACAGGCCCCTTCCTCATGCCACAGGCCGCCAGCAGCAAACACTCCAGCAAAAATGCTGTCTGATTCTGCTGGGCCCGAGGCACCTGGGACCTGCTCCCTGCCTGTTGCTGCTCCATTCTGTCTCCTCCTGGGTCCCAGGTACAAGCAAGGTGAGCAAGCTCTTGGGGGAAAGCTCTGAGTCACACCTTTCCCTTCTGCATCTGTCCCAACCTCCTCTACCCCACCCTACTTCTACCCTCACCCCCAGCACTTACTATGCTCTTGTAAATGAAATTCGACAAGGTGCGGGCAGCTCCAGACCGGAAATACTTTCGGTAATTCTTGCGAGCCTAGCAGGAATATATAAGACAGGAACCAAAGTGAAGACAGATTCCAGAAGAGTTGCTTTTTTTTTTGGTTTTTTTCTCCAGTGCTGGGAACTGAACTCACGACCTTGCGCTTGCCAGGCAGGCGCTTTTGCCGCTGAGCTAAATCCCCAGCCCCTAGAGTTGCTTTTTCAACTACACAAGGAACAAAGCAAGCTAAAGAGCTGAGACTGTGGTAGGGAAGAAGCTGAGCCCCTCTGCCCCATCAGACGTACACCCCCACACAGGTGTCACACAAGGGCGGCCTGGCTGCCAGCAAGACTCCTCCAGCAGCTGGCACAATCCAGGAGGGGCCGTGTGTGGGAAGGAAGTCCCTCTCCCGCTCCCCTTTACCTTCCACCCTCTCACGAAAGCCTGGATCAGCAGAGCTGATGCCTTCATCTTCCCGTAGTATTTCTTTTGCTGTGGAAGACATTGGTGCTCTTAGCGAAACCTGCATCCGAAACCATCGCTCCCACTCTAATAAGAGTGAAGGGGATGGGACTTTGAGGGTGTCTGTACCCTGTTGCCCCGAAACCAAGCGGAAATAAGGATCTGACTCTTCCTCATCTGCTGGTAATGGGTGCGGCAGCGCCAGCCTCGGTAAATCTTCTGGATGAGGGTGGCCAGCTGCTGGAGCCTCAGGCGCCTCTGCTCTTCCAGGTAGAAAAGCTGCAGAGGAGGGAAGGGTGAGGCAGAGGGGTTGGCCTCAGGGAACAGTGCTCTGCTCCGGACCCCACAGGACCAGCGGCTTCCCAGCCAGCATCTTATGTGATCACCCCAGCCTGCAAGGAGCTCTGCTTCAGGTGGAGGCCCTCAAATGGGACAGAGCAGCACAGCTGACCCCCAGCACTCAAGGCAGGGAGGTGGGCAGCATACAGATCCCAGGGGAGGAGTCCTGGCCAAGAGACAGCTGCCTCGCCCGCTACCCACCCCAGACTAGAGACACTGCCTTCCCTCCAGCCTCTCTTACCCACCTCCCAAGGGCATGTGCTCTCTCTGACTCACAGTCTTGGGGCTTCTGATGAAGATCTTCGTCTTCCCAAAGGCCAGCTCCTCTGAGGACAGGCTCAGCTCCCCCAGCACCTTCTCGACACCCTCCCTATAAAAGGTGGAGGGGAGGAAGCTGGAAAGGCGGTCGTGGGAGAGAGTCCTCCTGCGTGTTCTCCTAAATCTTCCAGCTCCAGGACATGATTGCCCCTTTCCCAGGTACCCATCCCCCAGGCTCCAGCAAGGTGTTCATCCCCTGCTCCCCGTCATCCTCCCCAGAATTGTTCCCGCACCACCCTTCACTGCTTCGCAGGCTCCAGAGTGGGTCTTACCGGTCTCCCCCATTCCAGTGAGGCCAAGTGCTCCTGCTCAGCAATCGGTACCTTTCCAGAAAGGACTTGTAGACTTGGCGGTGGGCATAGCCTGCCCGCCGCACCCGCACGTTCTCCAACAGCCCTAGGTAGCGCGCCTGGACGGCCACCAGCTCTGAGGAGAACCGGCCCCGCTGCTGATATTCATTGGGCTTTATGCACCTGGTGGGAGGTGGGGAAAGACACAGCCCTCAGGTGGTGACACATTGTCAGTGGAACCACCCTGGTCTCCAGACCCCTATTCTGCACACAGTCCCCTGCTTGAAAATTTCAGTGGGGTGGATATATTGGCTTTGCTAGTTTCACTCACGATTCTGACACACCTCCCCTCCCACCTATGGGAGGCCCTGCTCCTCATTTCGCTGTTTTTCATGAGAAATGGCCTCTGAAACCCTCCTCCAGACACGCTCCCACAAACATGTTCTACAGCACGTGGCATCTGCGCATGCCTTGACTAGTGACGCCTGTCCCGTGTGCCCGGTTTGTCACCTGATGTAGTTGGGGTTCTTGGAATACAGGCTCTTCATGAGTACAGCCACAGAACTCTTGAACTGGGCCCCAGCAGTTGGCGGACGTTTGAGAGATGCCTGCTTGGGATCCCCCTCAGAGAACAAGGACCGAAGGAGTGGGTGCTGGGCCTTCCACATGGCCTGGGACAGGTCTCGGAAGAGCAGATCATTATTCTTGTCGATGAAGCCGGTGACGTTGTACGTCACCTGCAGAGAAGCAACTGGATTTGGAGCCCCTGGGACTGTTCCAGCACCTGGTCCACCCCCTCGGGCTAGCTGCAGATTACTCTCAGCTGTCTCCTCCCCACAGATCCTCCCCCACTGTCTTTGGCCCTAGTCTTTACCCTGCAGCCCCACTACTTCACCTTGCCCGCATAGTGGCTGATGCGGAAGCAGCTGAGGCCCATGCTGTGGTCATACTGGCGCTGGGCATTCTGGGTGACCTTGCTCTCATAGTGACTGTGCTTGGAGAAGAGCTGGTTCAGCTTTGCTAGGAAAGTGGAGTCACTGACCACCCCAGGCCGCAAGCACTCCTCGTCCAGCATGGCCAGGATGCCTCGCTGGTTCTGGACCAAGGGAACAAGATCAGTACAACCTGTACCGGTCCTTCAAGCTGTCCATTGTCCTATGCCACCCCTTGACTCTTTTTTATCCTTTGCCTGCCTTTTCCGTCCTTTTCAAGCAGGGCAGTCAGGATAGATGGGGGAAGATGTTCAGGCGGTTTGGAAAGGGAAATCCCAGAGGCAAGATGAAGTAACTCACATGCTCAATGAGGTTACAGATAATGCCGTTGTCAAAGTAGTCCACCTTTGTCCACGGTATGCCCTGGCACGGGGAGACACCAATTACAGAACCAGGTCTACATCAAGTCTCCAAATCTCTCCTAGACACGCCCTTCCTTTTACCCACTATACAAAGGAGCACAGCAAGGCCCATAGTTCAGAGGAGTCCCTGGTATGCTTCTGTTTATGTCCCCATCCCTCTGAGTTTGGTGGAGTATTTGCAGAGTGTGTACATAGAACCAGAGCCCCTGGAGAGGAGGTGAGACAGAGGAGAGCCCTGAGGTGGTACAGGGTGGGAGGGAAGCACAGTGCGCTAGGTGGAGGCCGGGACAGAGACTGCCCCAGTCTGAGAGCGAAGGAGCCATGGGCGTGGAAGAGGAAATGACCACAACACACCTGCAGTAAACTATAAGGCTGGAGCACACTGCGGAGTTTATCATCCAACAAAGCTAACTTGATGCATCACCAAAGATTCCCTGAAACTCTGCCACAACTGATCCTGAGAGTTCACAAGGGGACATCCCTGGGAGGGTTTAGATGAGTGAGACTCTCAGGCATTCACACTTTGAGGTGGATTAGCTTAATCAGAGAGTTCTTCTAACACCTACCCACAAAAAACAGGGCTTTGCACTGAATCAGGGAAAGCGTGTGGAAATTGGCAGCCACGGGGCACTTCCAGTGAGGAAGGCTAGAATCAGGGTGCCATGAAGGGGGATGGCAGCCTCAGCCAGTGCCAGAGGAGACAGAGCACTCTGCAGTGTCGGAGAAGAGCACCGAAAGGGATGTGGTAGGTGCCAGGCCCAGGAGAAATGTCCCTTCTAAATTTGGCTCACAGCCTGCCATAGGCCAAGCACAGCTGTCACTTCTGTCTTGTCAGGACTCTGTCCACACACACCCTTCCATCAATCTGGCCCCTGCCTAGTGTGGCCTGCAGAGGGAGGCTGGGCACACGGAGGGTGGGGAGCAGACCATTAGGGCTACTTAGGATGCTTAATGTTCCGCTGTGCAGAGGAAACACCTTTCGTCTTTTCTTCTGGGGATCACTTAGAAGAAGTTGTGATCAAGGAGAAGACACTCAGCATAGGTTTAGAAGTCACTTAAGAAGTGGCGGGAGGAGGGTTAGTTTACCTCTCTCTTATACTCTTCTTGCTCTTCCCTCAGGGTCAGTTCTATGAACACCTGCTGCAGCTTCTCATTGCAGTAGTTAATCACAAACTGCTCAAAGCTATTATTCTGAGGATCCAAGAGAAAGACCAGCTCACACAAGACCCTTCCTCCCTTGCAGCCCTCCCTGCCCTCCCTAACACCCCCAGTGAGCCCGGCCCCCCAGTCCTCAGAGAAGCAGGCTGCTGAGCTTGGATGAGTCTCTCTCACCTCCAGTATCTCAAAGCCGTAGATATCCAGGACTCCCATTACCTTTCTCTTCTCCCCAGCGCCCACCTGGAGAGAAGATTAATCTGAGGACAGGCCCTCTACGCATACAAGGCCAGGCCCACCAGGGACAAAGGGAGGGGCAAACAGAGCAAGAGTGAGCTTGAACAAGTCGGGGCTCAGGTGTCTTGATCTGCTTTCCCCTCTACATAGTGCAAGACAAGCAGAGGAGGACCCAGGAAAAGGAAGATGCAAATAAACGCCAGGAGGATGCGCTCACAGTCTGAGGTAGAAAGACACTGAAACCCTCCCTCATCCGGGAGTGATAGCACGTGCCTGTAATCCTAGCACGGTGTGAGAGTAAGGCAGGAGGACCACAGGTTCCCACCTTGGGCACCTTAGCAACTACTAGTGAGATCTTGTCTCAAAAATAACAAAAACAGAACAAAAAAATTTTTTTTTAAGGCCTGGGGATATATTTCAGTGCAAAGGTCCTGAATTCAATTCCTAATACCATATACACACATACCCCCCAACACACACACACACAAATCCTCTCAGGATAATAACTATCTCTTATATTTGTAGAGCACTACAAAAAATTCCATGTCATTTAATAATCATAATCAGATTAGTATGATTATTTCCATGTTACAGATGAAAAATATCACCAAAAAGAAAAAGCATTTGCCCCAGTCTAAATTCAAATTCCATTTTACCCTGCTGCCTATCAATAGTAGCCTTTATATAGCTAGTGCTTTTATGTAGATAATTATTTAACAGTTTGTGACCGGGGTTGTAGCTGAGGGGCAAAGCATACACTTAGCATGTACAAGGACCTGGATTTAGCCAGGTGTGGTGGTACATGCCTGTAATCTTAGCACTTGGCAGGCTGAGACAGGAGGATCACTGCAAGTTCAAGGCCAGCCTGGGCTACATAGTGAGTTCAAGACCAGCGCAAACTACATAGCAAGGCCCTGCCTCAAAAAAAACAACAAAAAACAAGGACCTTGGTTCAATCCCCAATACCAAGGAAATGAACAAAAATAGCTTTATTGGCTATAAGTCACATACCATGTATAATTCGGTGGTGTTTTTAGTTATTTGAACTGTTATAACATCATCACCACTACTTTTTTTTTTGGTACCAAGAATCGAACTCAGGACCTTGCACTTGCCAGGCAGGTGCTATGCCACTGAGCTATCTCCCCGGCCCCATCACCAGTACTTAATCCAGAGTATTTTCATCATTCCAAGAAGAGAACTCCAGTGCCCATTGATAGTGTTCCCCTTCCTCAGCCTCCTAGTCACTGGCAATAATTGATCCATTTCCTATCTCAATAGATTTGCCTATTCTGTACATTTCATATGAATATACAAAAGGTAATCTTCTGTGATGGGCTTCTTTTACTCAGCATGATGTTTTCAAAATTCATCAGTTTTGTAGCTTATGGTAGGACTTCATTCCTATTTATAGCCAAATAATTCTGTTGCACAGATATACCACATGTTGCTGATAGACACTTGGGTTGCTTCTACCTTTTGGCTATTATGAATAGTGCTTCTATGAATGTATGCAAATTTTTGTGAGGACATCTGTTTTTGGTCCTCTTGGATATAGGCCTAGGAATAGAATTGCTGGATCCTATGATAACCATACACATAATATTATCTGATCTTCATTAAGCCCTGTGAAGTAGGTGGACACTAATGTTTTAGCAGACATATCCAAATTACCAAGGCTCGGGCTCTTGAAATTCAAAGACCACATGACTGAAAAGGAGATGGGTCAGGTGGTTGAATTCAAACATCAGTGATGTCTCCACAACACACTACAGGAATGACTTGTCCCTCATCCTCCTCTCCCTATTCATCTCAGATACTAAGGAATGGAGTTAGGGGCCAGGGTGAGAAGATGAAGCAGGCAGATGGTGCTGAGGCAGGAGGACAGTTGCTCACCTTGATGCTCTCATTGATTCGATGTATCAGCCAGTCGAAGAGGCGGCTGTAGATGTTCTTAGCCAGAGCATCCCGAGCATACTGAGCCTGAGGCGGCGGGGAGACAACTTAGTTAGGAAGCCACAGAACAGACTCAAGGTAAGCTGCCTTCCGAAGGGCCTTTACCTGGGTGACATTCAACACAGTGACCACCTTCTCTTTGGCTGTTTCCATGGTCCTCGTGCACAAAGCCCTTTCTAGTTCCTCGGATTTCAAACCCACAATCTTTCCAATCTCCTGCACACCTAGAATGATGAGGAAATACAAGATGACTGAAGGCGAGGCTTTCTCTCAGGGGCAGGAGACACGAGGGCACTGATAAGCAAAGCCGCCTGGAAGACTGGTGCCCTGGGTCTCACTGGGAAGTTCCTTCGGCCAGCCCAGAACACCACCATAGACGGGTACAAGGCCAAGGGAAAAGGGAGATCCGGGCACTTTGTGTGCACTGCCCACTTTGATACGAGGATCTCCCGAAATAGGTGTGATTGCTCCCATATGAAGAAGAATCAGCTGAGACCCTGAGAAATCCAAAATCCAGATCCATCAACTTTCCCAAATCTCATTCCAGTGTGCTTCATTGGGAGTTCTTAAAGAGCCTACTGGGGGAGAACTTAGAAGTGAGCTGAGTGCGACTGCATCAAGGTGAAGTCAGTTACTCTGGAAATTGTAAAATAAGACTCAAAGTAGGAGACTCAGAGTGGGGGCTTCTTCAGGGTGGCACGAACCTCTCCCGTCGCGGATGGCACTTCCTGGTATCCCGTTGGCCTGGAAATCATCTGTCATCTCCACGTTCCCCAGCTTCAGGACCATGGCTGTCACCTCCAGCACTTGTTGAATTTCCTCTTTGGAGAACCCAATCACTGTCATTGCATTCTTGCGGGGGAAAGTAGGGATAAAGCTAAAATGATCGTTCTAGCCCAACGCCTCCCCTCTCAAACCCAAAGCCTGGGCTCAGGGGACACCCCAAGTCTGCCCACACTTGTCGCCTACCTGTATAGCTCTAAAGTTGGAAGCATCATCTATGCCGTCCACTCTGGACACTTCCTGGTTCAGATAGGAATAGCCACTTGTATCCCGCTCGAGCTTCAGGGCCTCTGGGAGCAGCGTGGGAGCAGAGGGTTACCACCCAGCTCTCCCAAGCTCTCCAGCCTTGACATCTGCCCCCCCCCTTGTCCTTCCTGGGTTCATTCCTTTGCTCAACAGAGGCATTTTTGATGTAGGCTTTTCCTTTTTTGTTATAGGTCTCCTTTGTTTGGGGATCATTAATTCCCATGATAATAAACTAAATTTTTAAACAGCACTTAGAATTTAGGTGTTCACACTTGTTAGGTTTTCCCACAACTTTTATAAAAGAAAAGCTTCATTTCACTCTTGTCCCCACCCACCCTCTGAGTTCTAAACAGTGAAAACAATCAAATAAACCATCCTATTCAGGTCTCAGTGCCTGGGAATGAAGGCAAAGGCAGAAAGGAGAATACATATGTCCCACCCACCCCTAACCTCAACACCTCACTCCCTCAGGGCTGGTGGCTCATTACGTGTTTGTCCAGCACCAACAAAGTAGCACATTGTGTGCTGCCTGACCCTCACACCCCTTCGAGAAGGTGTCTCTGAGGTGAAGGAGTTGAGCTAAGTGGCTATGTTCCTCTGCGGTGAATCTCTGCCCCAGCCTATATCACACTGGCCAGGGTTACTATTTTTTCCTGCCTCGTATCCCTGAACAACTTGTGTGTTAGAACTCTCTCGTTCTTTTTTTTGGGGGGGGGGTAGGAGTCTTAACTATGTAGCCCAGGCTGATATCAAACTCACAATCCTGACTCAGCCTCCCCTACTGGGATTACAGATGTGCACCATCACTCCCAGCTGGAACTGTGGTTCTTTTCTCCATATTCTGTATACATGACTAGCAAATAAGAACTTTTTTCATTCTAATGAATGAATCAAGGAAGTGTTAGAAGCTGTCTCCCTAAGGTGGGAGGGACTGATCTAATCCTGGAACTTGAGGGATATCCGTTATCCCTTGTGAAAATGATTTGAGGTTTGGGGAGTATGTCTCAAGCTAGAGCTTAATGGCAGCTCCCTCCAGCACACACATTTTGAAAGAGGAGGCTGCTATAGAAGGGCACACAGGGAAAATGAGTCAGAACTCCCAGGGATAATGACAGCAGGGAGCGCTTACTCAGACTCAGTTTAAACCAATAGGGTACAGAACGAGACACAAGTGCCTATGATCAGACAAAGGGAAAATGACCAGACTACTAAAGCTAAAAGGAAGAGAAGACCCACAAGGACTCTTGCACCATAGAGGGCCCCAGGAGAGGAAAAGCAGTTAGGCACAGGCCCTATATGGAATAACAAGAAACTGAAAGGACAGACCCTTGGGGCCAGAAACCCATGGTTCTCAGAGCTAGAGGGGAGATTGAGAGGCACTCTAGCCGGGTCTCAGGCCCACCTGAACCTGCAGCAGTACCCACCCAAAGCCACCTCCAGCCCCCAGCATGCAGGCTGGGGTGGGCTCTGTCCCAGGACAAGGCAAGGGTTCCATGCCACCTGCTCCTGTAGCTACCTGCACAGGCCTAAGACAGCAATCACACCGTATTGCAATCGATGTGTTCACACATCTGCTATGCCTAGAAGCAGACAGGGGACTATGAGTCTCTGAGAACAGGGTCTGTGCCCTCCTCAACTCTAACCCTAGAGGCTAGCATCATGTGTATTACAGGGGACACTCAAGAGATGCTTGATGGGTGAATATATGAATGAAACTCCCACACAATGGTCTAGGAAAAGGAAGTCAGATAATCCAGGAGAGCTTCAAATAGAGCTCCTTCAACACTTATAGCATCCTGCCTTCTTCTCTGCTGAACTGTCAATAAAGCCTCTTAAAGGGAAAGATGGAAGATAGGTGTGGATGAGGGTTCTATGTCTAAAGCCAGCTTGGAGAAAGAGGAACCCAGGCACATCAGAGGGATGAGTGCAGGGAAGAGGCAGGAAAGGCGTATCCTAGCAATCAGCCCCAGGAAAGGAACAGAGCAGAGATTCATTCCCAGCAATGGGTTTTGAGGTTCCAAGTGAGGAATGCCAGGAAGGAGAAATCTCTGGCTCAAGGGACGGATGCTGCAGGGCCCAGAGGAGCCCGAGGTTCCGGGGAGGGAATGGAGGTTGGGGATGCTTTGCGTGTGTCCAGGGCAGGCACATACTCAGCAGCTCTGCGTCTGCTCCAGCCAGTAGCTGATAGAAGATGTGGAAGTTCCTTTCCCCTTTGAGCTGCTTCACCACTCGGGATTTCTCAAGCAAATCTGGCGGAGAGTTAGAAAGTGACCTCCTGAGGACCTGAGAGGTACCGCAGTGTCCCTTTACTGCTGTCCTCAGCTATGGCGTCCCTGGCATGCGGGAAATTTGCTGAAGTCTAATGTTCCTCTTTCCTACAGGGGCGGATGACCAGGAAGGGCCACGGGGCAGGGGACAGAGAAAGCTGATGAGTAGTCTGGGGGAGACACGTACAGTTCGTGATGACGCCACCAAGCGGGGATCCCTTGAAGTCAAACTCAATATCCATGTATTTTCCCTTCAGAAAGAGACCAGAGAAAGACTTTGCTTCCTCCTCTTCTGGCAGCCCTGTCGGGAAGGGTCTGTGCTGCACCCCTTTGCTTAGCCCCGAGCCCTCTCTTCCCAGCCCGGGTGATGCCCACTCACAAATCGAGAGGAGTTGTTGTTGCGAATGGTCTTGGCATTGCCAAATGCTGCAGAGAGGAGGACAGGGGAAGTTAGGCGGCTGAGGGGCGAATGAGGCTCCAGAGAAGGGAAGAAAGCCCCTGGGGAGGACTTCTCCCCGGCCTCGTGTCAATCTCAGAAATGGAGCAGCGGTTTTGGTTTTTCGGTTTTTCTCCGGCACCGGGAACCGAACTCACGACCTTGTGCTTGCCAGGCAGGCGCTTTGCCGCTGAGCTAAATCCCCAGCCCCCTGGAGCAGCGGTTTTGGAGCACTGGGGACAAGTGAGTCGGGGGGCTGAAGACAGGGAGGAGTGCAGAGAGCAGAGACATGGTCCTCACCCTCCAGCACTGGGTTTGACTGAAGAAGTTGCTCCTTCACAGAGTTCACCTGCTCCCCTTTTCCACAGACGGCGGCCACGTAAGACATCACCAGCTTGCTAGCCTCTGTGCACAGAGAGCCTGGCTCGCGGGGGCCCGCCCACAGCCGACCCCCCCCCTCCTCCCTCCTTAACGCCCCTCACCCGGCATGGCACACCCCTCAGAACCAGGAAAACTGGGGACGAGTTTCTGGGGGTTGGGAGGGACAAGTAGGCCAGGGGCAAGACAAGGTGGTGTTCCAGAGCTGCCTGTGGCTGCCCCCCGCCAGGCTCCTCACCAGTCTTTCCAGCTCCACTCTCGCCTGTGATGAGCAGACACTGGTCTCGGTCTCGGTCTCTCAGTGACTGGTAGGCCACATTTGCTAAAGCATAGCTGGAGGGAGGAAGTGGGCAGTGACTAAAGTGGGGTCAGTCCAAGATACCATTTTTCACTCAATCCCCAGGTCTAGGTTCATCCCCCTCCCCACATGGACCAGACTGGAGGGAAAGTCAAGGCCTAGCGAGGGGCCTCCAGAGGGCTGGAGAGGAGGTGGGAGGTGAAGGACACTTTAGAGAGAAGGATGAGGAGATTAGAATGCTGCATCGTCCAAAGCTACGGCCTCCTACTCACATATGGGGCTTTAGTTCATAGAAGGTGTAGTCTCGGTATTTGGCAATGAACTCGGGGCCATAAATGGGCAGCTGTTGGTAAGGATTGACTGAGATCACCACGTTCCCAATGTAGGTCTGGAACCAGGAAGACGGTGAAGGGAGTGAGGAGGGCATGTGAACTTTCCCGACACACCCACAGCCAGCCATACCCACAGCACACTCACATAAACCTCCTTGTTTTCATAGCGAAGCTGAAGGTTCTTGAGCAGAGACGCCTCCTCCAGGGGTTCCAGGAGGACAAGGTCCTCTACTCCCACAGAACCTTCCATGAGAGGCAGGTTGAGGGGCTGCAGATCCTGGGAGTGAAGGGGCAATTTTCTGATGTCTGCTCAGCTTAAATGGCCACTAAGCATGTGAGGAGAAGAGGAAAGAAGCCCCGAGAGCCCCCAGCCTCCAAGAGCCTGTGTACCAGCCCAGGCTAAGGAGGCAGCCACATCTCTCAGCAGCAGGTAGGGAGCCCTCTGCTCCCTGGGGCAGGGGACAGAACCACCTACCTCTGACCACCTGGAGAAGGACAGTACCCAGGAGGCAGCAACAGGGGAGCAGAGTTGCTTCAAGGAGAGAAGGTTAAGGAGGAAAAATGTGAGGCAAGCTTTACACTGTAGCCAGGTATAGAAAGCTCCCCCTCCTGCTTTGTTCTGAGGCTCTAGCGGGCATCCAGATGTCCAAGCTACTCACCCTGGTGCTCTTATTCACCCGTACCCCTCACAGCTCCTATTTTAGCCATCCCAAATCCCTATACCCGGCTGGAAGTAGTGGTGCATGCCCGTAGGCCCAGCACTTAGGAGGCTGAGGCAGGAGGATTGCCATGAGTTTGAGGCCAGCTTCAACTATACAGCAAGACCCTGTCTCAAAAAAAAAAAAAAAAACCCTTATATCCACCTCAGTTCTTTCAGAGGCCTCTCTTTCCTGTGATTGCTGCTGTAAGCTTCATTTTTAAATAGGGATGGAACAAGGAGATGAGTTAGAGACAGAGGCATCCTCTGCTAAAGCCTGGAATTCCAACAGAAAATGAAAGTGAGGTTTGCTTCCTCACTAATAAACAGCTGTCCAGGCCTCTGGATGCCCTCCGATTCTGTCCTTATTTTTCCGCCTCCAGCATTACACCCATTCCTGTAAACTTCTGACATAGACTTTGCCCAAAGACACACCCAACTTTTGAGGGGGAGGGCTGCAGGGAGGGCTGTGGGGCTGGGGCCCGTGCACAGGCACATGGCAGCTGTTCCCTCTGGAGGAAGCCCAGCCCTCCACAGGCTTTCCCGTGGAACTGCACAGGCAGGGTGACTGGGCAGAGGGCAGTTATTGGTGCAATGGCTAATGCCACTCCCAAACAGAATAAAAGACATGTACTTTCCCACTCTCCTGCATCTCAGAACCTGGCTGGGGGAGGGGAGAAAGCAGCAATGGGAGGTAGGGCAAGAAGGGGGGATACAGGCTCCCTTCTACCCTCACTCCCCAAGCTCCCATAACTTCCTGGAAGGGCACAATTGAGGAAGCAATAAGAATACCAATAAAAAGTCTCTAGGCATCACAAAGCATTTACCATAGGCCAGACAGAGCCTTACACATTGTGCAGAGAGACACTAATTCATCTGATGCTTACAACGCGGCAGGTACTATTATTATCTCGTACTTTTCAGACTTAAAAAAAGGTGGAATCTTGAAGTAACTTGGCGAGGAAGAGTAAGCAGCACGTGGGTTGACAGAAGGCATCTCTGGGTTGGGATTTGAGAGGAGTAAGAAGGTGAGTCGTTGGGGGCAGGGAAGGGGAAAAGGAAACAGGGTCCCGACGGGGCGCCCCAAGGTACGACAGACAAGTGACAGGTCAAGGGAGGGACTCACCGGGCACTGGGACGAGGGCGTCACTTCAGTGTCCCTTGAAGCAAGGTGGATGAAATCCCAGTTTGACAGGAAGGGGGCATAGGAGCCCCAGGCACCCAGAGTGGAGAGGGCTTAGTGGGAGCTGTCCATGGTGTCGGCAAAACCAGCGAGGAGGCCACCTTCCTGCCAGCGTCCACTCTTCAGATCTTCCTTTGCGCTGCCTCCTCCAGTCCAGGCTGCCTGTGCCAGTCAGGCCAGGGGAGGAGGAGAGACGGCTGCTCAGCACAAAGTCCAAAGCTGTTCCTGCTGAGGGTGTGGCTCACTTAACCCTTCGCAGGCCCGTGACGCTCAGTCTCCCTCTAGGGAGGAAAGAATATCTGGTTGCCTTTAGCTAAGGGGCTCAAGTAGAAAAGAGTTTTTGCTCCACTATCCCCAAAATTTGGAAATTAGACCAGAAGGAGTGGAACTTGTACCAAGGAAAAGGTTTTCCAAGAAGTCAGGTATTTTGCCATGGACGAAAGCAGACTGGGATGTTCTCCTAGCAGGGATAGTACCTCCCTCAAACCTATCCTACCTTATTGGGAGTCAGAGGGTATTAATGAGATTGCCTGGGAGCTAAGCAAACAAAATTCCCAAATTCCTCTCTTCGCCTGTGAATCAGGCTTCATCAGAGACCGAGGGACTGATAGTAGTACTCCGCACTTGTACGGACATGCCAGGCTCACCGAACTCCCACCTGTATCATCTCACTTACTAGCCCCACCCTGAAAGACAAGCAGTGCAGACACTCTATTCTAAAGGGACATTAAAGCAAACACCAGGCACAGCTACCACATCCCAGAACAAGGAACACAGTGCAGCTTCCTGTCCCTCTGTGCCAAAAGTTTCAGCCCAAGTTCCAATGTTTCTAACTTTAATCCTTCTTCAGCACCAGGATACTAAATAAGACTTTGAGATGCTGTTCCCTGGGACTTAGCCCAGTAGAAAATAGCTCTCTGATAGATAAAAAGCTTATCAAATCTAATTTCCTAAGTACCCTCCTCATCTACCCAGGAAAACTCCTAAGCAGCGGGTCCCTCTGTCTACCAGCTTCTCTCCCAGGCATGCACAAAGAGCAAATTAGGCAATTAGACACTTAACTAAAGATAGACTTGATTCTCCAACTCCCAGCCACAGCTGCTTAGTTCAAGGTCCGAGCCCTATTGCTCTGTAGCACTCTGCATAAGCCTGGTCCACCAGCAGTCCATTATCAACCTGCCCTTACATAATTTATTGATCTACTTAACTCTATTTGGTGGGCAAGGATAAGCAAGGAAGACAAACAGAAAGCTGAGTGGAAGTGACATCAAAACACAATCCCAGCAGCAACCCATTTTCCCCTCTCTCTCCAGCAGGACTTGTCTTTCCTTCGATAAAATTTCCTACTTAAAAAAAGGAAAAAAAAGCTGGGCGTGGTAGCACATGCCTGTAATCCCAGCACTCAGGAGGCTGAGGCAGGAGGATTGTTAGGAGTCCCAGACCAGCTTGGGCTACAAAATGAGCTCAAGGCCAGTCTGAACTGCATAGGGAGACCTTGTCTCAAAAAAAAAAAAAAAAAAAAAAAAAATCCCATGTATGGGTGCAGCAATATCACAGTGCCTGAGGCAGAAGTGACTATAGATCCTCTTGTCCAGTAGAGAAACAGAATGAGGACACTTTTCCACAGCCATAACACTGCAAGCCTGGCAGAGCTTAGACCAGAATACAGCTCCTATGTTCTAGCCAGAAATCTGCAGCATTGGGGGTTTATCTTTATGTCTACCCATTCCCTCATGAGCTTACTACATGCTCCCAGGAAAGAAGTGAATCTAAGGGAGATGGTAACCTTAGGCTTCAAACACAGCCATGGCACACAACCACACTAGTCTGCCTGACCCACCTTGGGTTCCCACCTGCTAGGAGGTGCGAATCTGAGGGCTAAAACCAGGCAAGTTAAAATGGAATCCGTGGGCCATTCTAAAGTAGAATGGCATGCTCATCCAAATGAGCTGGCATTTCAGGACCTGTGAAAATATTTCTGGGGTGGGGAAGACGTAGGGGTAGATGAAAGGATGCAGCATTGTGAACTGATTTCTAGATAAAACTGAATTGAAAAAAACTGAAGCAAGTGGAACTTCATTTATTTCTTTACTGACTCCAAAATCACCTTCCTTTGTACCCCATTAAAATGTCCAATGTGGGGCTTCAATGTAGCTCAGTGGTGCATGCTTGCCTAGCATGTGAGAGGTGCTGGTCTACTCCATGTAATGGTGAGGAAACTTCTGAAAATAATGAAAATGAGGGGGTCTATACAACTGTCAAACTCAGCAAAACTGTACTTAAAACTGGTAAATTTTATCGTATAAAGTATACTCCAATAGAGTTGGTAAAAAAATAGTGAGGAAGAGGAAATAATTCCAAATCTTCTGATTTCTCATAAAAGCTGGGAGCACAACAATCTGATTAAGCCCATTTATTCAATAATCCTCCCACAGACATTAACTTTTTTAAAAAACGCTATGCAATAAAAACACAGAAGTTTTCAAATATGATGGCCAAGATATTTGGTGGTAAAGGGGCCTATAATCAATGTTGTGCCAGGCATGGTGGCACACACCTGTAATCCCAGCACTCAGGAGGCTGAGGCAGAAGGATCACTGCAGAGTTCAAGACCAGCCTGGGCTACAAAATGAGTCCAAGACCATCCTGAAATGTATGAGACTGTCTCAAAAAGACAAAAAAAATTATCGATGTCAATAACACCAAGTATTTACTATGTGCCAAGCAACAAGCTAAGTGCTTTTACACCCTTGCTATTCAAGACAAGGTCCATAGACCATCAACATACAAGTCACCTGAAGGCAGACTAGAAAGGCAGAATCCTGGCATTACTGCAGATATGCAGAACCAGATCTGCATTTTAACAAGTTCCCCTGACAATTACTATCCATGTTAAATTTGAGAACTACTTTATACATCTTAAACTTTTTCTGTTCTTACCAAAACCCTGTGATGTTGCACAACTACCAATAATGTTTTAAGTTTTTGCTAATTCAACCATTAATGATCATCTATGTCTCATTACCTACTAAGTTACAAAGGAGAAAAAGGATGTCATCCGTGGGCATTAATCTACATAAATTTACATATGATCTACATCCTGTTTTCTAATTGGTCTTCATCCTATCAACTTTGTCTTTCAAAAAATATACAATGGATTTCAAGTACCTAAGAACAGAGAAGTATCTAAGAACTGAGAAGACAGGTACAGAATTAATACAAATGCAAGACAAAGGAAATAGTCAATACATTAAAGAAAAAAGAAGAAGATAGCAAACTCCTACGGCAAAAGCTGGACTTGGACATAAAGCTTATATTCTCAGTGCCTTAACACTCATTACAACCCTGGTCCCTCTTATACCTTACATAAATCTCTTGGTAGGGATTCCCCACATGGATCCACAGGCTCCTCCCATCCCAATGGAGAAAGAACAGATACTTTATGTCATAAAATAATAAAAGAACTAAAGTACAATCAGAGTAGCTTCCTGGGCCAGGAATAACCTTTACTTTCCTTTGATCAGCAAAACACTTCAACCTGCTACTCCTGCACGATTGCCCGTGAGCTCTGGCATCCCAGGAAATCATTCCGTCCAAGGATGGCGGCAGACAATACAGACGTAGGGTTCAGAGGGATGGTTAGAAGAGGGGAAACCAATGGTGTGAAACTGAAGAGTCAACCACTGATTACCAGAAAACGAGATCCAAACAGCAGCATATATTGAGATCAACAGATAGTCTATAAAACTTTATTAAAATTGGGGTTACTTACAAACTGTATAATAAAAGTGAAAAAAATACCTAAGACGTCATTATTTTTTCTTACAGAAAAATGAAAATGAGACCCATGGCAAAAAACGGTCCCTGATTTTATTCTTTACAAACACTTATGAACATTTATTTTAAATATGACAAACCTGTTATCTAAACACTAAGGCATTAGCCACAGGCTAAAACTTACCCAGTAATTTCTTAGCCCTGTAATTTCAACATCAATTCCATGCACATGTCTGTAACAGTTTCTTAGATTCACATTCTGAGTTGTCTGTTAACAGAACACTGCTTACGCTATAGGCAAGTTCAAAGAGTGAGTTCACTGTCTTCAAGTAGTCATCAGGGTGTGAAAGAGGACGATGACACACATGGGGGGAGGCGGGGAGTCTGCGTGACCACTCACAGCCCCACGAAAGCTACATGGTGACACTGGCATGAACCTCTTTGTTTATTCCCAGCAGGCTCTGGCTCCTGCCATGTAAGGCACCAGATATCCATTTCAAGACAGTAACTATCTAGCACCAACTCAACAGCAACCTGAATCCGTAAGTTGTCACTAAGACACCACTGGGCCCCACAGTCGCGCTGGTTCCCCTAAAAAAAAAAAAAGAATAAACCGATTCGGCCACAAGAAGGTTCAGATGCATCTGCCTTGCACAGGGGCTACTTCATGTTTATTACTTGGTTTCAGTGCTTATATAATGTAAGGAACAATAAATCTATCCAACGCTCCTCTCCTTAGTTCAGACAGAAGTCCTAGCATTTCAATAGTTATTATCTCATATGTCAGACCTCAGTGCAAAGGAATCCTAGAAGGATGTTCAATTTCCTTTCCTCCTACTTCAACTTTCACCACTCAACTCAGAAGAGCTATGAGTACATGGCTAGGAACCATTTTTAGGCAGGCATCTATCTGAACCCATCTTTTTTATTTTTCTGGAACAACAAAAAGATTGAGGACAGTTACATAATCCATTCCCAATCCTTTTATGGATTCCAGGACCTGAGGGGCTTTTTAGCTTACTTAGGTCCCTTCATTCATCAAACCTCCATGCAAATGCCAACTAGGGACTGGGCTGAGGGACACAATTGACAGAGGGAGGGCTGGGCACTGGAATGGGGTGCATTACTGTAAGACGAACAGGGGGACCCAAAGTGCTATCGTTAGCAAAATTCCCTTTGTAACAGACACAAAAACCACAGATTTGGGGAAAGAAATGAACTGGCTTTGGTATGATACAGTGGCGGATAGGAATTTCTTATTAGAAGGTATCAAAGTTGTTAAGTTTTTCTTGGTTTTGGTCATTATGTTCTGTTGCTGTCATGAAAACCACCTGAGTAGGAAAGGAAAGTGAAAAGAAAGTTATTTTAGGCCAGTTGCCTCTTCTTCTTCCATTACTGGGAATCATGCGCTTACGTAACTTGGTCAGACCGATTAGACAATAGATTTCCAATGCTGATGAGACCCTGAGCCCTCAGGCCAATTTATGGCTTGATATTTGTCGAGCAAGACGCTGACGCGGCAGCAGATGTGGCTCCGCTGTCCAGCTCACCCCACAGTTATCTCTTCAATCCTTCTTGATGAGATCGGCCTGAAATGAAACTATGCTGAAATTGCAATAGCCGTAACTGCCAGGGAAAATTAAATAGGGGCTTCAAGTAGTGACTGAGCCAGCAGACCAAGTGGCCAAGAGGGAGACAAGAACAGCTCCTAAAGGTTTACAGAGTCAAGCAATCTCCGGGCACACAGACGCTCTGAGACATCTGGGCAGAGCCAGGCAGGCAGGACAAGGACAAGGCACACTAAATAGGCACCGTCCTTCACTGTCTGAAAGCAATGTCCTCTCCACCATCCGAAGCTCAGTTCTCCAATTACCTGACAGGGAGTAATAAAATGAGTCTGACTTTACTCACCCTAAATTCAAACACAGTGAAGGAAAAGAAAAAACTGGTCTTGAAACTGTATTTCACAAAGAGTTGACTACACAGAAAAGGAGAACTCTTCCCAACTTCCCAATGGCTTCTCACTGAAATAAAGACATCAACCAGGAAATATCACTCGAGGCAAGCTACCACCTCCCTAAGAAGGTATTTGGGGGAAGGCACAATATCTCCAGATCCTGAGACCTTCTGTACAATTAAATTATTTATACTCAAATATCTTAGGTCTAAAATTTCTATAAATGCCAAAAAATATATTTCACAGGGTTTTTTACAGGGGAAGGTTGTATGCTGGGGTTTAAAGAAAAGGCCTTGTGCATGCCAGGCAAGTGTAATACCACTGAGCTACAACTCCAGTCCATCAGAGGTTTTAATAGTCCTTCGTAGGAGGATAACATTTCACCATGCGCATAATTCACAAAGGGATAGAGGCTTCCCAATAAAAGTTCCTTGTATTCTCCAACTGTAACCCACAGCATCTACCAAATACTGTTCCTTTTTCTCTTTTTACTGTCAATGTCTGCCAGTTGAGGTAGTTGTTACTCTAGAACAGCTGAAGGTTCTGGGGGAACACTGGTGGAAATCATCAGCCAGCCACCTGGACGGGAGTCTCAGAGCTGACATTTCAGAAGTCAGCAATGGAGCCCAAGATCTTTCAAAATTACATCCTAATGGCTGGTCTGAATGCGTTTTAACAGCTTTTTAAAAAATCCATCTTTCTGCTCCACGATCACGGTTAGTCTGCAAGGTTAATGCTGTACACTTGTCATAAATGTCCATCTTCCTAGCTAAAGGAATTATAGCTTTCCCAAAGTACGAGAGTGAAAAACCACAGAGAAAGAACCAAGCAAATGACAGATCCTTGGGAATTTGCTCCCTCATAAATGTTATGGCTGGCTTGTAAGAGTCCTTTACAAAGGCAAAAGAATATGAAACTAAGGCCACTATAATACAAGACAGCATGAATCTCTGGCCAGAAATGGAATTGCAAATAAGTGTGATAAATTCATAGAAAAATGTGTCTGATCCTGATGGCTAAGTGAGCTTCCAGAGGCCTGAGGATAACCTGGAGGTCTACTTTCCGGCAATGCAAATTATGGTAGCTACAAGATACAAACTGCCTATCAGGAAACTCCATAGATGTGTCAGGGTTTACAAATTAGCCAGATTTGGGAGGGTGCAGGTGGTAAGGAAGGCTGAAAGAATGAGTAGATGGTATACGAAGCAAGGCAGACAAGAGGGTATTTTCTTCCACCGTAACTCAAAGGTATGTGACCTAATGACAGAAAAAATAGGATAAACAAGAGCACTTCTCCTGGCTGGCAGAAGGGATGGGGGTAAGAAAGCAGACAAACTCGGAATTCAGTTTCACATCCCACAGGTGAGAGAAGACCTTTCCTAGAAGGAAAAAGGAGGAGTAAGGAAAGTGCAAATGTATTTTTAAGACAGAATTAAATGTGGAATATAATAAAAAGCCCAAGGGGCCTCACATACAGAAGAGCCTACAGGTACATTCCTCAAAGGAAATAGGACTCAGAATATCATATATGTGAGAATTAATTCAAAGTTCAACACAACAGCTCCTGGGGCTTTAATGGATAATTTACACTAATAACTATCTAAGGACCAAAAGGCCTTGTCACCCTGGAGCACCTCCTTGTTCTGGAACATGAGTTTTTTAAGTTTCTAAAAATACGTTTCTTTTAAAAAAACAAGACCGGCCAGGGGTGGTGGCTCAAGCCTGTAATCTCAGCACTCAGGAGGCTGAGGCAGGGGAATCACCATGAGTTTGAAGCCAGCCTGGGCTGTATCAGCAAGTTCAAAGCTAGTCTGCACCACATGGTAAGACCCTGTCTCAAAAAGAAAAAAAAAAAAAAAATATTCCCCAAAAACAGTTAAATAAAGGATTATTCTAAAGTCACAAAATAAAAGCTGAAGTGAAAGATTTGTGGGTTTCTCTGGGGCAGATGCAGCCTATGGTCTGAAAGCGTTACTGCAGTTCCACTTCTCACTCTGGAGTGCCGGCCATGGTGACAGAAGTCATGACTGAATCAACTTTCAAGAGGAGTAAAATGCCATGTGGGTAGTGGACATCCAGTTGCTTGGTAACAGAAAAACGGGCTGATAGCTTAACCCGTGGGAAGTGAAGTACCACAGCACTCTCTGCTTCACCCATTCTCCTCCCTCAGCGATCCCAGAGACCATCAAGGCCACTCCCAGAGGGAGGTCTACACAAGCCTCTCATTTCAGTGGGAGAATCTCTGCATTATCCCTCTGCCTTCCGGTTACAACATGGACCACCAAGGCACCAAGCCATCCTACAGGAAAGGAAGACTAGCCTCTACAGCAGGAGGTTGTTTTGTGCCGCAGTGGGGTAGACAGAATCTGAATCTTCCTCCTCAGAGGATACTTCCTCATCCAGGGCAATAATGCTCCCTAATCCATACTCCTGCTCATGGACAGAAACTTCATTTGGTGTGAGGTGGAAAGAGCCTTCCATAAAGTCAGCAAATCTGGAAAACAGAAGGTAACATTCATTAGCAATGTGTCTTCTACCCTTCCAACTGTCTTTCAAAATAAGAAAAAACTAAAATGCTTGATATGCTCACAGTGCTAATTTTATTGAGTCAAGCCAATCTTCTTGTCCCTACTTTGGCAGTTACACAGACTAAAGCCAGAAAATGGGGAAAAAAGAAAGGCTGGGATCATAGGCCAACATTTCCTGCAGCTCCATCTAGCTTAATAAGCACTAGCTTGCCCTTTTTAGTTATGAAAATGCTAAGGTTCCTTGAGTCATCATATTCCTGATAAGAGAAGATCAAGGGTATTACAGTTATTTGTGTTTATAGCCCTATAAACTTTATGCTGTCAGGATTCCAAATTGAATCTTCACATACTCATTTTACCAACTAAAAAGCAAAAAAGAAAATCCCACTCAGAGAGCAATGTACAACTTGCAGAGAAGGCTAACTTAATATGATGTTTCAATAAAAGCTAGAGCAGATAGTTCCTTGGGGAAGCAGGAATTGGGCAACTGCTTGATATATGCTATCCATGGCCTTCTCTTGACCACTCCTAGGGTGACAGTAAACCAGGGCCATAAATACAAGGTTATCTAGAAGTTTGGTCTCTGTTAGAACTCAAGGTCACGGTGACCCTGACTGATACTTGGTTTATCTGGCCAAAAGTTTACCTTTTTGGAAACTGGATCCGAGAAATGGTCTTCCAAGGAGAGCAGTCTGGACTGTTACAGAATGTTCGGAGCTCTTCTAAAGCCTTTCGGGTCTCTACCTCTCCTTGTATCCGATACTCTTCTTCTGTCAGAAGACGAGGGGGAGCAGGCTTTTCTCTTGCCTTACACATCTTTCTGTGCTCACCAAAATAACATCATGAATCATTAATCAGTAATCTATATCCATCCTCATCTCTAGCTCCACTCAGTGGACCAAGTACACAGCAGCCAGTCTGAATGCTACAGGGTTTTCACTCCCATCTTTATCCCACAGAAATCTTTAGTTACAAATGGATGCCTTGTAGTGAAGTAAAAGTAGTCAATATTGTGTGCTAATGTGAATAAAGTCACTTATTTTCCAATAAATGATAAATAAAATATTTATTTTCCAATAAATGGAAAAATGACAAGAAAACAGTCTTATAATACTGTAGTCCATTGACTTGGTTCCTCAAACTGAAGGTATTACTTTGACTACCTGCAACAGAACAACTATTAACAATCTCAGAATCCATGACCATTCCATACTCAATATGCAAAGTGATAACATGCTATGAATTACATCTTAAAAGAAGAGTAGGACTTCCAAAGCAATCTGAGAACTAGGATTAAATAATATTGAACCAGCCAGACATGGTGGCGCACGCCTGTAAGCCCAGCACTCAGCAGGGTGAGGCAGGAGGATCACTGTGATTTCGAGGCCAGCCTGGGTTACAAAGTGAGCTCAAAGCCAGCCTGAACTGCACAGCCAGACTCTCTCAAAATAAATAAATAAATAAATAATCTTGAACCAGCAAACCTGAGGCCTATGGTATAAAATATAATGTGCACCACCCAGTGGTAACAAAAACACATGACACTTTTATATAATGACTAGACTAAAAATTGTAAAAAGCCTACAGTATCTAAAAAAATTGGAAAGAAAAAAGGCAGAAGCATAACACTAATTTCCCATTAACAAAGAGGATCCCAGGGCCACACCTCTGCATCCGTTTGCTGTAAACTGCATCTCACATTGAACATATCAGCACAGATATATTGCCTTTCAGTCACCTGTAGGTGATGTACAGCCACTGAATAGGGTACTCCAGATTCTTAGTACACAGCGCAATGACGACAACGCCAAGGGCAATGCGTGGTATCTGGATGCCAGAATACATGAAACCCAAGCCCATCAGCTGCAAGGTCCAAGTCAGCAAGTTGATACTTCGTTCATTCTCCAAGGGCCCGTATTTGTAACACACTGCAAAACTCATGAATCCAACCGTGACGATGTAGCCTATGGAAGAGTTATCACAAGACATTCTTTTTACCTATGTCTAGCATAGATATAGATAAAGTAATAAATAATCTGTTTAGGGAATAGTAGTAAATCCTCTATATAGTATCTGTTGAACCAAGAAATTGGACAAGTTGTTTACTCAATTATTCATATTTTTCATCATTAGGAAAAATGTGTATATGTATGTACAAATATACACATGTATGAACACACATATATATTTCTAACCTTTCTGTTATCAGAAACTTATTTGATTCAAATAGAGCATTGTTGAATAATTCTGAAACAGTCTATTTTTAGAAATAGAGATTTCTAAATGTCTATTTTATGAAATAGAGATTCTTTGAGATCACTTCTCAAATAATATACCCAGGGTTTTTATTCTTATGATCAAAGAATCTTACTGTGCAGATAAGATTCACTACAATCTTTTACTTCTAAAGGTTCTCAAGTGTATTTAAAGTATGATTAACAGTCAATATATAGCTTTTCAGAAAGATGCTTATTATGTAAAGAGAAATTCTTTTATAAATACCAACAAATTAAAGTCTTCTCCTTAGTAGCAGCATTTTAATTTAAATAAAGTAATGGTGTTAGAAATAAATGGAAAACTGACTTTTACTAGTTAATCAAATATCATAAATTATTAACTCCTTGTAAGCAGGCAACATCTTTTCACGATCAAATTAAGACAGACTGTAATTTGCAAAATAGAAAACAAAACTGATAACACTTACTTAAAAGATACTGCCAGTAACACTTCCAGATCTCCTGTAAGTTCTTAAAAACCAGCTGAATAAGGTACAGAGAAAAGGACCAGCCTCCCACCAGGATGACATAAATGGGGCTTTTCTAAAACAGAGTAGAAGTGAAAGCAAAAAGTTACAAGATTTTCCATACAAAAAAGCAGCAAAATGGAATTATGATTTTTCTTAAAATTTAACCTATTCAAAATGCAAATCTTTAAAATGACATCCTTTTTATCTAAAAAGGTACAATTTGTAAGGAACACTGGAAAAATGAGATGCTAAACAACCTTAAAACCTGATTATGCAATTAGAAAAGTTTGACTTTAATCTCTGCTGAACACAGGACTTTAAAAAGTTTGTATGCAGTCAGGTTCCAGTTTCATCATGGAAAGTAGCTTTCAGAATCAATAAAACAGTAGGGCATTCACTCCTCAGCCATCAGTGCAAACTGTCAGTGTTCTAAGAATACCCAAGTTCATCTAACTGCATAAGAGGATCCTGCCACTTACCTTCGGCATAAACTTGGACAGTATAAAAATGATGATTAGGAGAGAAGCCACAATTCCCACACTCATCCCAGTGGAATAATAGAAAACCTGACTCCTGCAGACAGAAAATTTATTTTATGACTATAGGTATATACTTCATACACAGCTGAAACTAGGACAACTAACCTAGCCAAAGGATTTTTTAACCATTTTTATTAGTCCTCGTTTATAGTACGTGATTACATTCATCCATGGGGAGTTGGTATATGTAATGTACATATCTTAATTATTACTTCCCTTTCCCCTCCCCCTCCTTCATCTCGATTCCCTTCCCATTTGCAAAAGATCTATCTCTCTGTTCCACACTACTGTATCTATCTTGTATTTCGCTCAAGATTTTCTTAAAGGTACAAGTTAGGGCAGATACTTGCCAAAAACTTGAGTTCAGAGAACAGAACTGCAGAAACTAATGCAATGTAGTTGTTGCCAGATTATAAAAAGTGTATCAATTAGGTTCCCTCAAGTGGATCCCAAGCATAAACCCACTTCCATCCCTAATCTCTCTCCCAACCCAACTGTTTTTTGTTTTGTAGCTTTTTGTTTTGTTTGGCTTTTTAATTTTGAGACAGGATCTCACTAATCACTAAACTGCCTGGATTGGCCTCAAACTTGTAATCCTCTTGCCTCAGCCTCCCAGAGAAATGGGATTACAGGATGTACCCCATGCCAAGCTCCAACCCGAGTTTTAATAAGAATATTTCTTCTAAGGAACTGCTCAGCTTCTCCGAGAAGCAAGAATACTCCTCACGTAGAGAGTGGAGACTGAACTGAACTGCTTAACCAGAAGAATAGACTGATCTTTCATGAGTCTCTTACAGCAATTCCACTTCCATTCCAGGCTTTCCGCCCATGAGCCCTCCCCTACTGAGTTTCTCTCAGAACCTCCAGTACAAGAGCTTCCTCGAACCCCACCTCAAGTTCCAGTTGCTAACCGTTCATTCACTCAACTATGCCTTTTCCTTGCACAGCGCTAATCCTACCGTCACCCAATGTTTGCTTAGTTAGTGACATGTTTTCTTTATATTTGTACATGTCAGTTTCATCTATTTTCACTAAAAGGCTCCTAAAGGAAAGAAATGAACAGTGATGTTTATCTCCTTACATACCTGGCATTAACTATACTCCATCAGTCTCTGCAGTGACACATTACTTTTAACAGTACAAAGAGTGGTGATGGCCAACTGCACAGTACACTAGCTAAATCCAGTTAACCTTACGACGACTACCTAATAAGGGAAATTTCTTTTTTGGGCGGGTGTCTTTTTGAGACAGGGTCTCGCTACACAGTTCAGGCTGGCCTTGAGCTCACTCTGTAGCCCAGGCTGGTCGCAAACTCACAACGATCCTCCTGCCTCAGCCTCCAGAGTGCTGGGATTACAGATTTGCACCACCACGCCCAACTAAGGGAATTTATGAACAATATTATTCAAATTGGAAAAAAGAAAAACAAATTATAATACATATTAATGTATTTTTTAAAATATCCCAGCAGACAATATCCAAGCTGTAAAGGTCTAGGAGTGGGAATGGCAGTACCTATAGTCTTTATGATAAGGCACTATGCATGGGTATGGATATTGTACACACTAGCCATGGAACCTACCTGCTCAGCAAGTCTCCACAAAAAAACAGTATAAGTCCAAGGAAGAAAATGAGGAAGAGTTTGGGGTCAAATCCTGAAGTAAAGAAAGATTTTTGCTTAATAGGGGAAACAAACAGTTTAAGGCATTATAGAATAAAAAGCAATTTTGGCCTATTGGCTGGGTACACTAAAAAAAGCAAATTCAACCCAAAGCCTGGGCACCCTTCCAAAGAGAAAGTATAACTAGGTCTCTGACTAACCAGTACTTACCTGAAGATATTATTTTTATTTTGGCTACCTGTGTTCTAAGCTTCACTTTGGAACGAGCTACACAGTGCCATCAACAATTCATACAACTTGCCAGGCATGGTGGCCAACGCCTATAATCCCAGCACTTGGGAGGCTGAGGCAGGAGGATTGTTGCGAGTTCGAGACCAGCCTGGGCTACAAAGTGAGCTCAAGGCCAGCCTGAACTGCATAGGGAGACCGTCTCAAGAAGACAAAAAAAAAAATTCCTGCAACTGTCCACAAGGGGTCTCTACCACTCTGGCTTTCAAGCCAAGTCTCTCGCTGGCAGGGAATTCAGATTTGCCTAGAACTTTGGGTCAGGACCTCATGTTGTTTTCTGACTGCTTTTCTTGCCTAACAATACTACTTTCTTTCCTGTGCTACACTGCACAGCCCTACTGGAAAAGTCTACACACCAAACACATCTCACCCAGGACCAGTGAAGCCAAGCAAAGGCCTCTAGACTCTGGTATCTTTTACATTTGGAGTTCTGCTTAGGACAGGCCAACTGACAGGAGCACGAGGAGTCAGTAAATACAGAAAAAAACATAAAACACAGGCCAACCCTACACAACTATGGAACTGTAGGACAAATGGGAGGGCGTAGCCACAAGTCTACTACTCACGTATCTACGACTCCTAGGACCTGGGGAATAACCACGAAGAAACCAAGTCAGAGAGAATTCAACAGAAACTACACGCTCAGACACCCTCAGAGAAGGAAAAACTAGTTCCACTCAATCCAAACTTAAACTGCAGTCATCTTCAGCTTTACTGATGGCTCCACAAGTATTTTGTACTTGTGAATTACTAATATTCAATTTTAGCTTTCCTCGGTTTTTATTGTTTAGCCATTCATGTCTTGAAATGCAGGTCTTACACGGCAGGGCAGCTGCCTTTTGTTTAGAAGTGTTCGGAAGGCATGAACACAACTATCCGCTTACTCTGAGAATACTAGGTGTTATCAGCTTCAGGCCACAGGCGCTGCTAGGAGCGGGGCAGCCCTCACAACTCTAGGCGAGGAGTTGCTGGAATGGCAGGGGTGAAGTCTGATTTCTAGGCCTAGAGTCTGACGTGGGATGGAGTCACTATAAACTAGCACCATGGTGAACTCTGGGTTATAATCAGAACCGCTGTCCTGGGCTGACTTCTGTGTCTCACCAATTACACCCTCCAGAACTCAGTCCCTACTCACTATAGCATCCATCAGAAACACAGAGATGAGACTTACTCCGGGTCACAATGACACTGTACTTGGTGTCGTTCTCTATAATCTCAACTTTGAGGCAGGTTTTTGTGCTGTACAGACCCACGTTAACATAGGTGTCATTCAATTTCTCTTTTAAAAAGGAGGAAAAAAAGTTCCAGATACTAAACTGCTCTAGCTCCTTCAGTTTCTCCTCATTGTCCACCTGGGTGACTCGAACCAATCTGGAACTATTTACCCGGATCTGCAACACAAGTAAAATCAGAGTAAGAAAAATAAGTAGGAATTTAAACTGTTCACAAATGTAATTTTTAAAAAACCCTTAAAGTAAATAGCTGAATCAGTAAGGATGCCAGTATTCCACAAGGCTTCTCAGAAATATATATATGTTGTAGCTAAATCATAATTGGACAAATAATACTGCACATGGCACAGAGGCAGCTGTTAGTGTGTTCTTGTTAACATGATTTGAATCTATGATTAGGCCGGAACATAGGCAGGGAAAGACTCCCAAGCTGAAAGAGTTATCAATACAGCTATTTCTGAGAAACCATACAATGCAAGGGCCTAGACTATTAAGAAAATTGTCAGTCATAAATAGCCCCAGAAAACAACATGTTTCCCATAATGACAGGCTGGGAAGTTCAACCCATTGTCACAAACCACTGATTATAGGTAAATGTTGTTATAATGTATCCCAGACAGAATATGATTTTTATACCAGACAATAAAAAACAATAATTTAAAAAAATCATAAGCCCACTCTTAGGTTTTGATATGAACAACAAATACCCTTATCTGTAACCATACTTATAGGAGCAGTTACATTTCCAAAAGGGCTCATTTTGTTCAATCACAATTACAGCCACTCTTGCTTACCAGGTGACTTAACAATGTTATTAAATAAATGAGACAGATATCATTCTACCAAGGGGAAATTTCAGCTCGGGAGTTTATGAACTATCTCATGTAGAATCAAAACAGAATAAAAGCAGCAAAGTACTAGGCATGGTGACACACAACTTTAATCCCAGTATGCTGGGAGGTTGAGGGAAGGGTCACAAGTTTGAGCACAGCCCCTGGGCAATTTAGCAACTTAGCAAATATTAAAAGGACTAGAGGGCTAGGGATTTAGCTCAGTGGCATAGTGCCTGCCTGGCAAGTGTGAGGTCGTGAGTCCAATTCCCAGTACCAAAAAAATAAAAATAAATAAAAGGACTAGATATGCAGTTTATTCTGAAGGCCCTGGATTCAATCCTAATTACTACCAAAAGAAGGAGCAGTAGCAGCAGCAAAACAAGAGTTTATACCCTGATAGGCACACCACAACTTCCAGTCCAAAGAAGGCAAAAGGTCCTGAACAGAACTGTGAGTGTGCACACGTATGTGTATGTTTGACTGTGTCCATGCTACAAAAGGGAGACTGGAATGAGAAGGAAGCACTTTCTTCGGGAAAAGAAGGAAGATTACCTCAGGATCACAGTACTGTAAGGCTACACAAAGGAGCTGAGACATCCATGGGGCTTCCACATTATTACCTGTATCCGTGTCCATATATCATGCCACTTTGGGGTAAGAGAGTTTTCATAACAGAACTGCTTGCTGGCACACATATCATGAGCTTGGGATTCCTGAAGCATGATCACATTTACATCAGTTCCAGCTTTATACAAAGAAAAGAAACAAGAATTAAACATAACAGAGCAAGCTAATTAATAACTATAACTCATTTTATAAAAAGAATTAAACTGATCATTTTCTTAAACTTGGGGCTAAAGTACCAGCCAGACTGAAAAACAAGAGGGAAAAAAACTGCAACAAGAAAAGAAATAAGGCAGATTCTTTATTTCCATTAGGTTAATGGACACGTATGTGTGCTTTGGATTGAGCCCAGGGCCTTGAACACACTAAGCACACACTCGACCACAGAGCAACACCCCAACCCCAAGTTTATTCAAATATTATAATCATTAGCTGAGAGTACGGAAGAAGAGCTAGTACGAAGTGTTTATTAACACAGACAACATGCCGCTCCTTTAACTCTGCGAACAATGCTATGGCAGGCATCTTCATAATCCCTAATTTACAAATGAGGAGCTGATGTCTAGGCAGCATTATTTGCCCAAAGTTACACGGCTAGTAAACAGCCTCTGAAATTCACACCTAGGTTTAACTAGGAGCCGTAAGACAGCCTACCTCTCCCACATGCTCTTGTAACAGGACAAAGTAAGCTACAGTAACCCCATCTGTTGATTTTCACTCTCTCTTTCCTGAATAGTATGAACAGGACTGGCAGTGGGTTTTTAAAAACTGAAAAGCAATGCAGGATTAAAGTGTTTATCTGATTTGATAAAAATGTTACATGTCACATTTTTAAAATGTAAGAGTCAAATACTAAATGGAATAGTTTGCTGCCTATATACCTTAAAAACAGAGTTTACAAAGTTCTCAATGTATTCATTTGGTACTCTCAAAAATAGTGTGCAACTGATAGATTACCAGCCACTGTTTCACTAGTTTTTGGTCAAAATGAGGTTTGTTCTTAGTATCCAGTAACAGGAATCCTCAAATATGTTGGAGAAGGGTCAAAAGACAGAATAAAGGATGTAGGCCTGCTGACATTCCACACTAACACACAATGTTTATGCTTTCTTTAAAATAAATAACTAAAAATATTTAAAAAAAAAAAATCTCAGAAATAGTATACCTATATTGTATAAAAAAATGTATTTTGGTTCTCTTAAAACCCTTGTTAGCCAGGTATGGTGGCACACACTTATAATCCCAGCACTCAGGAGGTTGAGACAGGAGGACTGCCATGAGTTCAAGGCCAACCTGAGATACACTATGAGTTTAGAGCTCAGCCTGGACTACACAGTGAGACCTTGTCTCAAAAAAAAAAACTTGCTGCTGATTAATAAACTTCATTATTAAAATAAACTTGATTAATAAAAATATTAATTGGGGGAAAAGAATAGCATAGGCCAAAAATAAATAAATAAAGAATAGCATAGGCCATTCAAAGAAGTTAATGCCAGAGCACCGCTGTTTTTAAACTAACTTTAAAATTCTCCAAGCCAGGCATGGTGGCACACCCCTGTAACCCCAGCACTCAGGAGGCAGAGGCAAAAGGATCAGCATGAGTTCAAGTCCAGCCCAGGCTACGAAGTGGGTTCACGCCAGCCTACAAAGCAAGACCCTGTCTCAAAAAACCAAAAATTAAATTAAATTAAATTCTCCAATGCCATATTCCTTTAAAAAAAAAAAAAACCACTTTTCTCAGAAGCAGTATCAGAAATAACATCTTTTAATATCTGGGGTTTTCCCCCTTGAATTTCATACCATGCAAAGGAAGGAATTTTAAGCAAATAAACCTTTTCTACAGTTACCTAACACACAAGGTTACCTTAGAAACGCACTGAGAGGAAAATATGCCAACTGACCCTAAGAAAAATAACCTGCAGGAATGATCATGCCTTTAGCTGCATCTCGACTTTTTGGAGACACAGAACTAAAACAAATGACCACAAACACATACAAAATTGTCAAATGCTTTCTTTAGCTCCTTTTGCTTTCCACAGCAAAATGACCCATCACTTTTCTTCCTTTCCTCAAAGTGAGTTAGCCAGCATGTTAAAAAGCAGAATAAATTAAAACATTCAGAAAAGCCCCTCAGGTTAGTAACTATGGGCTGAGAGTATCAGGCAGTGACAGAGGGATTCCTAGCATGTGTGAGGCCTTGTGTTCCATTCCTAGCACTGCCAAAAAAAGCCATTAATAACTTCATATTTACTTGTAATCATTACAAACTTAGTCTTCACCTCCTTTTCAATCGATAATGCAGATCAAGTAGAAGGTGATGAAAGTGACTCAGGGTATGTAAGGACTGGAAGAGACCCTAAAAAGTCATGAAAAACAAACCCTTCTACTGCTTTTTTTTTTTTTTTGAATGATAGGGATCAAACCCAGGGCCTTGTGTGTGCTATACAAGAGCTTGACCACTGAGCTACACCTCTAACATCCCTAGCCACCTCTTCTAATTCTACACAGCCTCTTCTCATTTCTGTCAGGAGATAATCCAGCCGGGCGTGGTAGTGCACGCCTGTAATCCCAGCACTCGGGAG